ATGCATGGATAATTGAATACTATGTAGATCCTTTTATATTCTACAAAACTAATTAAGAATTGCATAGCCACTAAACTATTGGAGTTATTATTATTATATTTAAAGAATTTTAAAAGAGAACATGGTTTGAGACAATTCAATCAAGAACAAATAAATAAGATTTTTGAAAATCTTGTGAATATTTCAATAAAACATAAATAGATAGAGTTGTAGCACGAGAAGTTTAGTATTATTAGCTTGTTGGTTTGTTTGATTACGTAATTAGTGGCATTATTGAATTATAAATGAGAAGCTTAAAAAGAGCAAGTTATAGAGATACTTGAAAATATATAAAATATCTTGAATGAATTTATAGTAAGTATTTATAAGATTCATTTACTTAATTTTTAATATTATTTTTTATAAGTTATATAAATATTTTTGTCAATTCTTTGTTTTTAATAACTGTTTTATTAACTACCACATCTTGATTTTACTGGTGATTAGGTAATTAGTGGCATGAAGAATGATTTTTCTGATGAGTGGGAGAAGTTACTGTCATTCTTCATGATATGCCTCCAAACTGTAGTGGGTTGATGCAAAGCATGTGTCTTGGTTGCTCCATTTGTCTTAGATTGTAAGTGGCGTTGTTGGATTTGCTAAGTTAGTGTCTTCTCCTATGCTCATGCTTGCCTCTTGTACTCCACGAGAGGGGGAGGGATATGACCCCAGCACGTTACAGTCACCTGTAGAGGACCACATATCCTAAAAAGATGTAGACATGAAACTGCCTTCACAGTTCACACCATTCAAGTGTCTGTGGTGTGTCAACTATGATATTTAATTGAATTGAAGGTGATCCTCATCATAATATCCTCAATGACTAACTCATCACAGATATTTTAATGCCTTGTTTGGTGTCATGGCTGGGAGCTAAAGAAGCGTTCTCAAGGTAGAAGTAGGAGATATATATGATTGTTATCTTAGAAATGGCTTTATAAAGGAAAGTCACCTGGGTCAGCATTGGCAGAGCGGCTTCCTCACTTTAACTTTTAAAGTAAAAATATAATCTTTAATTCTTATAATTTTATTAAATTTTATTTTTAACCCCGATAATTTTTTTAATGTTTTTTACCTCAATAATTTTAAAAAGATTGTGTGTCATTGATTTTTTAAATTTTTATAATTTTTATTTTTTAATAGCTTTTTATCTGTATACTAAAAAAAACTATAAAGATTAAAAGTAAAATTAAATAAAATTATAAGAATTAAAAATTATATTTTTTTAATTTTAAAACAAGCAAGTGGCTCAACTCCCATGGACCTCCTTTTGTTGTGACATTTCTCTCCCCAGTTAAGAGAGTTTTGGACAACCTCACCCCTCATATTAGCAACCAAATTTCAACAACGCTCTCCAACAATCAGCCGCCTCCATCCCCCGCAACCAAGTCGCAATTCATCAAACTAGTCCATACTTGTTCCAGTTTTGCAAAGGTTGGAATTTCTTCCACAAATTGGGGGTCTACGTTTTTTTTTAATAAAAAATATTATAAGGACAATGACAAGGATAATTTTTTTGTAATCTGAATGTAAATTACAATTAATTAAAAATTATTCAAAGACTTTATTTATATACCAAACATACATAGTTTTTTGAATTCCAATCTTTATATTTATTTTTTCCCACACTTGTTAATTTCAAAACCACTTTTTAGACACCAAACATGTCGGAGAACATTCCTTGAGTATTTTTTTTTCAAAAAATCATTAATTATATATTGAAAAACTAAAAATATATTATATTTTTGAACAAATTCAACCTAAAAAATACCTTATATTTTGTAATGAAAAGATTATATTATTTCTTATTTATGCCCCTGGTATGCTTAAACTTTATCTTAGACATTAAAATACACGTGTAAACAGATTGGATTTTAAGTAATGAAATTTTTTGTGTAAAACTATGATAAAAAGAAATATATTTTTCTCAGTCTCTCGTATTAAACGTTAATTTATCCTCGCCAGAAAAGCAGTAGCCAGCAGGTCAGGAAAGAAAAAGAGGGGAATGTGATTTGCACGCATACCCCAAATCGCAAATTATTAAAAAGAAAAATCGTAATTAAATTTTGAAGAACAAAAGGAATGGAAAAGAGGACGAGGATCTTGAAGTTGGATTCCACGTCCCAGCTGCTCGTAAATGGAGTTCGGCACTTGGATCCGCCATTTATGACTTTATTTCTACATCAAACGATTCTGGCGTTTGATTTGCTTAACATTTACTTAACCTCAACAATATGTACATGTTATAAAATTGGGTAAATGAGTAAATTATTTTTAAAATTTAGATCCGGTAACACTATAAACACTAAACTCATTTATTGTGTAAATTTTTTCTTTAACTTTTAAAAATGATGTAATTTAACTTCTGTCATTAACAAAAATTAACTTTAATAGTTAACTAACAAGAAAATGATACAAAAGAATATCAAAAATTGCATAAAATAATCTCAAATTTTTTTGTCCTTTTCTATAATTTTTTGAGTCTTTAATTATACTTTTTGGTAATTTTATATTGTTTTTATATCTTGTTCTAATCAATTAATAATTAAAATTAATTTTTATTAACAGCAAAGGTCATATTGTACTGTTTTCAAAAGTTGAGAAAGTAATTTATAATTTTATACAATAAATAAGTTCAAAATTTATACTGCTACAAATCTAAAGTTTAAAAAATAATTCATTCATTTACACTTTAAAATTTATAAAAAGTTTTCTTATCTATATGGAGTGATCATAGAGTAACTTATATCACATGTAAAACGTAAGTCTCTCCTACTAGTTTAATTGTGAGCAATTGTAAATATTACATTACATTACAATTTTTATATATAGCAACAAAAGCAGATTTTTGTTGTTAATTTTTTTTTATGATAAGCCAATTAATGTATTAATTTTATAAATAAACATTAATGCTTTGGTATGATAAATTAATATCAAAATTAAAATAAATTATAAATAGGTCAGTTTTTATTTTTTTTTAGATGTCATGGGCAGGCCTCTTGATGATACTAGGAAGGGAAAATGATGGAAGACTCCTCTTAACTAAATTTGCACAATTATTCCTTAAATTTGTCTAAAATATGAAGACCTACCCAATTTTTTGTGATGATAAATATATATAATCACAAAATTATTAAAAACAGCATCCAGTATGGCTCCAAAGTTTTCGACTTTATAAATATAAATAATGTACGAGTTTACAGTTAAATATTATATGATCAAAATTATTGGTATAATTTTTTATGAACCAAAAATATTTTTATTTACGAAAAAATTATATTCCATTAATTTTTATCCGCTTTATTTCATCCATCATCTCAATATCTCAGTATCAAACAAAACCAAATTGAATTTCTATTTTGTGACGTTGAAAAATGTCTTTGAAAATTGTTTCAAGAACCAATCCAAAAAATCAATCTGGACAGTAGATGCTACTTCCGTCTCCATATATAAAGTATTTTTAATTAAATCTTGCATATTAATAAGTTTGTTATTTAGTTAAACTCACATAAAAGCATAATGATTTTTCAGTTTTATCTTTAATAATATCATAATTAATATCATAATATTAATAGAAAAAACATATAATTAATGATCTGTTTTATTTTTAAGACAAGAATAAAATTATTTAATTATTTAAAAAATATTATTGTCATTCTTTATATTTAAAAATAAAATAAAATTTAAAAAATATTTTATAGATGGACACATATGAAGTGGATGATAGTGCTTTAGTGTCTTAATAATACAATCAGATTCGGAAGAAAGAATTGCTCAAGATCCGAATTGCTTGGTTCACGTGATTTGGTCCGTCGGCAGGGATGGTCGGATGGAGTCATTGTTTTGATTGAGGAGAAATTAAATTATACTGGGTCTGGTAATAAATAGCATGTGCATGAGTCATATTTCATTTATTACTGAAAAAATCAATTTAATTTTCTATTTTGAAATTAAAAAAAAGAGAGAGAACAGGGGTAATCAAGTTCGAAAGATCAATTTAATAATAATTAATTTTTTTAACAAAATTTTTCAAAAAAAGATTTAAATATTGAATTGGACAATTATATTCTTTTTGCCGAAACAATTATAAATTTAAGAGTCTTAATTATATATAAGATATTTCATATACAGAAATAACTATTTAAATTAATATTTATAATTTACTTTCTAATGCTTTAAAAAAATAATTGTGATTAAATCAATTTTTTTTAATTTAAACGTGATCTTTCTTTAATATTTACTTTCTTCAAATCACAATATAAGTCACATTACAAAAGCATGGTCCAAAATGTAAAATATTGAGTAAATTTATGTATTTTTATCACTTATAGCCTTGCTTTTTCTTATATTTCTTGTCTTTAAATGCCATATACTTAAAGATCATGTAAGTGTTATTAGGAAAACTTAAGGGCATAAATATGAAGATAAGATATTTTTAGGAAAATGAACTTTCAACTAACATTTTTTATAAAATATAACTTAGTTGTCAATGATATATACTATAATCCAGAGGCCTCCTAACCAAAATAATATAAGATATTAGTAATTAATTTATGATTTTAAAAATAAGTGTTATTTAAAGCCTTAATTTCCTAAAATTTTATATTTTTTTAATTATACCTTCATTAAATGTCTTATATAAGAGCTTTGATAATAGTAATTAAAATTTCAATACATAATTTTTTAAAAAGAGTAATAAATAAAGTAAGGGTATAGTTAAAAAAATAATTATAAAAATTATGTAATACTCTATATTTTGAATTAAATAAGATTTTTAGAAGAAATTTTATGTAGTAATTGGGAAGGAGTAAAAACTAAAAAAGTCTGTCCAAAATTTGAAATTTCTTCAATTTTAAAAAAGCAAGCCAGTCAATTGGAAACATGAACGGATTGATTTTGTAAAAACACATCTAACGATAGTCAACCCCAAAAAGGACAAAACATTTCTGCACAAGATCACATGAACAACACTCATGGTACGTAGCACTCACATGAACATATAGCTTTATTTTAATCTCTTACATTTCCCCCTACAATTCAACCAAATTAAAAATCACCAGAAGAACAAGGAAGAAACAAAATTCTTCAAAAAATATGGAACAAAAGAAATTACCATACCCAAGAAAGATAAAAACAATTCAATTCCAAATCTAACCGGGGGCTAATAAAATGAACAAAAAGTTCTGAGAAGTCAACTGGTTGGCCTCCGATCGGCCGCGTACTGAGAGAGAGGCACCACTTCCTGCAACGGCGTCGAGATCGGAGTGGAGATCGGTGTGGGAAGCGGAGAGTTTCGGCAAACCGGGCAGGAACCGTTGAGCTTGAGCCATGCATCGAGGCAGAGGAGGTGGAAGAAATGGCGGCACTCCGGCATCATCCTCAGCATCTCGGAGTCCTTGTACTCGCAGAGACAGATGGAGCAAGTGAAATCATTATCGGCGGCGTCGGAGGCGAGAGTATGATCCTTGGCGTAGGGGAAGCTGGGGTAGGAGTTGATGACATCGGGGGAGAGGCCGAGGGCGATGGAGTCGTCATGGTCGTCGTCGTCGGCGACGAAGATGATGCGGGGGAGGAGGATTCCGTCGGACGGAGGGGGAGGAGGGGGAGGGGGAGGGGGAGAGCGGCAGCAGAGGTAGGAAGAGAGGAGGAGGGTGGAGAGGAGGAGGAGGAAGGCGAGGGCGATGGCGATGGAGTAGCCGAGGCCGACGTTGGAGAGGAAGGAGGCGGCGGCGGCGGAGGAGGACATGAGCCATTTGAGAGAGAGAGAAGAGAGGACAGGGCCGGGATGTTATTGTTACGGTGGAAACGTTAGGATTTTGAGGACAAGGAAAGGGTGGGTGGGTGGGAATCTCGGCTCTTTCATTTAATACAGAGGCTGAGTGAGAAAGGGTGTAATCAAGTGTGAGAGCTGAGAGGCATTCATTTGGAGTTGACAAAATTTGGCCTTTTGGAGTATCATACTCCATGATTTAATTAATTAAGCGGACCACTTTGCTCTTGCCTTCCATTTGCACAATTGCGCTTACCTTCAATGTTAATCGACTCTTTTATTTTAATATTTATATCCATTGAATATATATATATATATATATATATTTTTCCATAGATGTCCAAGCATGTGTTTTTTGTAATTTTATTTATAAACTACTTTTAATATATCTAACTGAAATTAATTAAAAAATATTAAAATTGATTCATTCAGTCTAAAGATTTAATAAATTCTCAATTTTTTCTATATTAAATTTACATGTTTTAATAATATGTTTTATCTAACTAGCATTTAATTGGAGTAAAAGAAAAAATTTATGATAAAAATCAAGCATGAATTTACAAACTGGACAAGATATTCTCTCCTCATCTTATAAATATTGTATTTTTATATTTATTAATCAATGATTTAGCTAGGTCTATCCTCATTCATTGTTCCAAATTAAATATGAGAAATATATAAAAGTTGTGATATTTATAACATGATATAAATAATTAAACAACTCACATTTCCCATAAATTTGGTCCCTGGTCTCGTTCTAAACTGTCATTTTTGGTTTGACAAAACTCATAACTAAGTCACAAACTTATTGTGTAGTGCTATATAATAAAATTAATATCAAGATATATACTACGATCGTTGAGGGAGGCGGACTAGGGACAGCCATGACTTCCCTAATGTTTCAATTTTTTCTTATGTATACATTTCTGGTCTCTGATCTAAAAATGTACATACTTCTTCTAAAAAAATATAAAATAGTTTTTTAAGGATTGGATATTAAAAAAATGTAAGACTTTTTAATCTTTTAAAATATAATTATTACCAGTTTTTAAAAGTATTTATATTAAATAAATCAATTTATATTTATTTTAGTGTGAAACATTCTATTAAATAGGGTTGAATATGAAAAATGGAGTAAGTTTGAAGATAAATAATTATTTTATTAGAGAATAGAATTTGATTAAAAATTTGTTATATTTTTGAATGGGGGAGGAAAATTTAAACTATAAATGCTTTTTAATTTTGTTCCATGTCATGATTAACTTCTCGCTATGTATGCCCCTTGCAAATGGCGTCATTCATTTCGTTTTGTATATAAAGGAAAAATGTGTAGAGCTGGGACATATAAATTAGATTCTACTCAATGTGTCAACTGATTATCATTATCTAAACCTACTTCGGCTTTTCGGTCAGAAACTTAGGCATTTAATATCTGAAGTTGAAGAATGGTAGGAGTGACCTTTTGGTTTTGTCATCTTTCCAAGTTGATTTCATTTTCACTTAGATAATGGTGACGGTGGCGTTCAAGGTTGCGCTCAAAAGTTGCGGAGATGAAAGCAATTGGGTTGGATTTTTTTTTATTTCATTAAATTGTATGGAATATTATTTTTTATTTTTAAAAAATTATTAATTAACGTGGCCGCTTAGTATAATATTGATTTGAATATCGTGGGGCACGTTGTTTGTTTAAAATCGTTTATTTAGTTCTGGCTCCTCTTAGCCTAAATTAAAGAAAAGTCTTTTATCTTTCTTTGGGATTTGTAGATCTGTCAATCAAGTCCTTAATTGGTTCACATAACATTAATTTACCCGTCATTATGAGATTTTTCTTCCTCTTCCATGCGTTATAATTGTGCCCCTGTAGGCCGGCCGCCAAGGTTTCCGAGTTTTCATCCATATGAAAATCAAATTTAAATCAAATGATTATTTTCAAATCTAACCATTAAAATATTTTATAACGTTACTCAATGCACTTTGCTCACTAAGTGTAGGCTTGAAAGACCAATAAAGATTGATTTAATTGGCAATAATTTTGTTTATAACTTACAAGTTTTTTTGATTAAATTTTATTGTTGATATAAAAATTTTATAAGTAATCTATAAGTATTTTTATAAATGTTTTTTTGAATGTGGAGGTTATGCATGGTGTTGAAGAACTCTCAAGACTCAACCTATTTAAATTTTTTTCGTAAGCTTGAGGTAGATGATGATAGTATGATACAGAATTAGCCAGTTGATTGGGAAAATAACAATTTAATTCTGCCTAATGATCTCTTTATCCCCTTTATGATATTTCATTGCTCCTGTACAGGGATTCAGAGTCTGCTGAAACAAACACCTGTTTTGAGTCTTGACTGTCTTTTTAATTTTTATATCATGCACTAGTACAGTCTTAAATATAAAATAAAATTAATAAATTTTACAGTTATTAAAAATTGTTAGTTATAATAGTGAAATAAAAAATATAACTTTTTAAATTTTTCCTTTGTTTATAATTAATGACAGTAATAAAATTGTTTATAAATTTAAATGACAATGAATAAACAAGAGATAAAAAAAATTTTAAATTTTATCTTATATTAAATATTAAATTATATATATATATATATATATTTTGACTTTTTATAAATAGAAAACCATTCCTTGTCATCATGACTTTTGACAGCTTTACCACCATCCCTTTTTAATTAATTTATAAACTATCATGTTGAATTCACCTTGTTAATTTATTCTCTCTGCTATGATTGAAAATACTGTGTTCCTTGCTGGTTAAATACGTATTTCGCGTTACTATATATGATTGAGTGAAGTATAAATAAAATAAGATCGGTTATTTAGATCTTCTAAATATGTCGTAATATTTGGTAGGAAGGCCATGAGATTTTATTTTACCAAGAATATTCCTTAAACAATTAAACACCATCGCAAAAATCACCGCCTACAATTAAAATTGCTTGTTAAAACATCAGCCACAATTACACATATATTATACCACGCAGCTACTTACCTACTTAATCCTTTTAATTAGCCATGAGAAAGGCACATCTAACGGGAATTTTCCTTTCATTTGTTTTTTATTTTTCTATTGGAGTGAATCTTATTTGATGCACTGTCGAGTGGGGGGTGAAAATAGGATGGATCAAGCTAGATTTTAATTAAATAGGCTTGAATTTACATGTTAAATTATAGGCTTGAACTTGACCAAAAACTTGTATAAAACTTTTTTTATGGCTTAAATTTAAACCTACTTAAAAGCTGACCTAACCTGCAAGTTTATTTAAAAGCCTACTTAAAAATAAAATCTTTTAAATATGCTTGTATTTTAATTTTAAACTTCTCAAATATACTTTAGTCCAATTATAATATATAATATATAACCTAATTTATCAATTACAATATATAAGAATTGAAAGGATTTACTACCTATAATATAATATAATAATAAAGTGACAATATTAAAATTAATATATAAGTCAAATATGATTGAAAATAAAACTAGAAGTAGTAAAGTAAAAATTGATTAAAAATCATATGATGAAATTGATGTGTTTGTGATATAATATATATATATATATATAAATGGCCAACTGTTGAGCTCACAGGTTGGGCCTTGAAAAAGTAGACCTGGACTATTTAATTAAAAGCTTAAGCTTGACTTAAGCTTATTTTTTAAGTAGGCTGGGCTAAGCCTGAACTAGATCAGGTTGTAGGCTCCTGTTAAAAGCCTGGCCTATTTTCACCTAGAGTCGATAATTCAAGCCAAGCTCGAAGGGCCAGTCCAAACCTTCTCGAAAAAAGTTAAGGCCGAGTTTAGAAAAAAAATATAACTTTTTTTACGTTGGGGCTTATTCGAGCTTGAATACCCGAAAAAAAAAATTTATTTTTATAAAATATATTAAATATGATAAATATTAATTAATTAATTAAGTTTTAGGTTATTTTATACTAAAATATTATATATTTGAGTCCTATACATCATTTAAGTATCAAAAAATATATTTTATAAAATAAAATAATTAATTTTAAAGTAAAAATTTTAATTAAAAATGATTTTTAAAATATAAATTTAGGTATTCGGGCCGTCCAAAACCCTAAAAAATTTGGGTCAGGCTTGGTTATTCAGGCCCGACCCACTCGAATTTTCAACTCTATTCCCACCCTTATTGTCGAGCATTAAATATCTATATTGCATAGATATTAATGAGTATCAAATGCAATATGTCAATACTTTAATTTTTAAACATATAGGATATGATATGTTTTTTATATGTATATTTATATTTATAAAAAATAGCAATACAATTTCAATTTAAAAAATATTCAAATTAGTATACATATATAGTTCTTTATAATAATATTAAGTAAAATTTAATCATTAATTATACTTTTATTTTATCCATACATGAATACATGATTGCTTACCATCTAATCCTTTCTAATAGGTATAGTACTATCAATATCTCCTCCTCCTTCTCGACCTCATAAGATTACATTTTAACATTTTTTTAATTAATAAAAATGAAATTTTAATTCTTTTATTATGTCCAAAACTTGTTTTTTAAGGAAAATATAATATTTAACTTTAAAAGCAAAAAAATGATATTATTAATAAAAAGTTTAATATTGCAAGTTTTAATAAATTTATTTTTTTAAATTTTTTATTTTTAAGTATTAATTAACAATCTAAAAATATTGAATATGTATTAAAAAATAATTTTTCTAAAATTAAAAAGTATTATTCTAATACTTTACATATGTGCATCGAAAAAATATCTATAAGTATCGGATACAATATCAATATAGATACCTTAGGCAATTTAAAGTATTAGTATTTCATAGCTAAATTATGCTCTTTCTTGTGAGAATTTAAATCTTAACTCATCATGAGAGACTATTTTTTTTATCATTTTTTAAGTGGTAATGGGGAATTTTATTTTCTTGTTATAAAATAATTGACATTGCTCTTTTTTTGTAGATGAGGCCCATTCTCATGCCTTAACCGCTTAGGGTCGTTTTCTTTGAGAGTGGCTGAGCCCAATACGAGAAATTAACTAATTTGCATAAGTCTACAAGTTCCGGGCAGGAAAGGCCCGAACAATCCCTTAGCAACGAACGGCATAATTGATAATTCCTCGCACGAGTTTTTCAATTACCCTTTAATTTTGGTCAAAAAATAAGATTACCCTTTAATTACTGGGTTGCTTTAGAATGAACTTTTAAAAGATCATACGCAGTTTGCCAGGGCAGTATAAATATATAGTTTCAATGAAATAAGGGATGGGTCCCGTTTAATCCCTCCTATCCGAGGAGAGAATTTTGGTCATATCGCTTGTCGGTAGATGTTTAGACTAGAAATTAGACATTTTGCTTGCGTTCGATGCTTGGAATGATTTTGGTCCTGTAGAGGACAATCATGTATTGATCCTGTCCTTTTCAAAAAAAAGGGAGATCTAATTTAATTTACATTTTCTACTTAAAAATTAATTAATTAAGCAACCTGATCAAAAAACTAGTCACGAAAAAAATGGTGAGCGAATTCATTCAACTTCAATTCATTATTGATCGCCGGATGACGATGTCGACGGCGTGGCCTGTGGCAACAACGGCGAGTCACGACACACAGGACACGACCAACTAATTCTCAGCCACTCGTCAATGCATTTAAGGTGAAAGTAATGCCCACATTGCGGCAACATCCTCATCATATCCGATTCCAAATACTCGCACATGCAAATCGGACATGTCGTATTGTTGCGGTCGTCGGCTTTTTCATCACCGTACATGAAATTCGGGCACAAGCTGATGACGACTTCAACGTCGAAGGCCCTACTTGTGGTTGCCTCCTCATCATTTTGGACGGGGTTCTCTTCGTCGTGGTGGTCGTCGGGATTATTAACAGCTGAGCCGGGGACATTGTTGCCGGCGTAGCCACGGGGTTGATGGCTGTCGCGGCGGCAGTGGCGGTAAATGGTGATAGACAGGCGGATGACGAAGAAGACAAAGAGGAGGATAAGGAGTGACTTGGTGAATAAGGAGCCGATGCTGAGGTCGCTGATGAAAGTGGCGCCGCCGTCATCAGCCCAGTCGTCATCGGCGGCGAGGATAGAGGATTCCGGCTTCGACATGGGGATGATGAGAGGTGTTAGAGAGAGAAAGAGAGGGACTGATTAGATAATATATCATAGGAAGAGGCATGCAAGGCGAGTCGAACCTGGAAAACGATAGGTATGAGTAGTTATGTTCTGTTAGACAAATCATCAAACAGGTGCAAGTCCTTGGATGCTGTTTGTAACAGAATCTATAAGTGTTTAATTTTATCTCTAACTGTTTTAGCTTTATGGGTAATAATTGTTGTTTTTACATTATTATTATTATTTTATTTTGGTAAAGAAAAAATTTGGACCCATTTCCCATAGTTTAGGTCTCAGGGCAAAAAAATTCTATTCGTCTGTCGTTCTTTTTGTCTTGCAACGAAATGTGTATTATTATAATTTATCTCTTTCTTATTATCTTTGTTTCTAATTTCATTTGTTTAATTTAGTCTTCATTTTTATCGTTGATTTTGTTTTTCTAATCATTCAACTAGAAAAAGTTTATTTTATTTACAATTAAGCGCACATGTTGATCAGATTTATTTATCTCTTATTCCCTTCTCGAACATCTAAGCTGGAGGGAGAAGATATACCACCGTACGTTGACCCGCATTTTTTTCCTTTTATTTCCTTCTTTTTAAATTGTGAAAATTTTAGACCACTATTAGTATCAAGTCTTATTTGGTATCTGCAGAACAATTGAACAAAAGAATATTATTTTCAAACGAATTGAAAATATTATAGAAATTTTAATATATTATCCTGCTATAGTCTAAAACAGAATTGTTCTACCTACACATGACATCAAATCATCTTTAACTCACGTACGTATTATACATGTATAGAATAAAAATCAACTCCTAAAGTTGAACTTTTTTCTTACAATTCAAATCTTGGATTGCTCGTGCAGTAATATTAGCACTAACGGTGCAGTTCATCTTCACAACCACGTGCTTCTTATAAATTTTCAAAATCTTCACCTTCCCCGGAACCCTAGAGTAGCTATTCAGGGTCAATATACCAGACACCACTTCCGCAGTAAAGTTAGAGCTTGACATGAGATTATCGGTGATGAGATCCACGTCGACGTCCATCCTCACTGTCCTACGTGCCTTCGCCCTGCCAGGCGGTCCCCGTACCTCGCCGACAACGGTGCCGTGGTAGTACAAGGTTGTGGTGGTGTTGGTATACCTGAAGGACACCACATTAGGGTTTTTTAGGGACACGTCAGCTGTTAGGGATATGTTGGTGCCAGGTTTAGGGACCGTGTTGTTGTTGATGAGTTCGATCTTTGTGATGTTGAAGCCGTTCAACGTGATTTCCGGGTCTTTAACCTTAAAGACAGTGAATGCTAACACTATGATTGTAACAGCCAGGAGTAGAATGAGAGCAGTCATGCAGCCACAACACTTGACGATGAATCTTCTACGGCGGAGCCTTTTGATTGGGACAGGGGTGGCTCTGCCGCTGCTGATGGTGTCTTCATCATGGCCGTCTCGGAGGTATCTGTTGGCCGCCGGAGCTAGTGGTCTGACTTGCTCGCTCTCCGCCATGGCTATATGAGAACTGCGACCTTCACAGGCAACCTTTGATGGAGAGACTGATATTTTCGATCGCTACATAATACAGAGACATAAAACTCATGTATGGGCAATTTGATCAATTCACTGCATATATTCTTATATATTGACAGAAGATTTTGGAGGAGCGGTTTTGTCAGTTCATCTTAATTTAAATTACTTTGAACGTTGATTTCAAAGCACATGTTAGTCCAGATAAAAAATAATTAGAACGCCACGAATTTCTCGCTTGGTATTATTATTATTATTATTAATTGTGTTTGTCCTATGTGGGTGTAAGTATGAAATGTTTGAATTTAAGATGGCATGAAAAGCACGCATAACTAACTACATAAGCATGCAATTTTTTTAAGAATAATTTTTGGAAATAAAATTACGGTAAATTTCATTGAAGAATCGATGTAATTAATTAGCGTAATTAATGTGCCTTTGCTGTTGTTCAAGAAAAATATCTTGCCCTGTGGTACAGTCATGATATTTTGTTGGGGCAAATTAGTCAATTCACCTTTGAATTAATTTCTTCGCTGGAGGCAGGAGCAAATGCATTAATTTATGAACATGTACATTATGCTTATACTCCCTTCATTAAAAAATATAAAGTATTTTTAATTGAATCTTACCCCAATAAAAATAATTATTTATTTTGAAACTAACACCATTTTTAATGCCTCTCCCTATTTAATATGATATTTTACTCTAAAATAGATATAAAGTGATTTATTTATAGGGGTAATTTAAAAAAAAAATACAATGATCACATCTTAAAACACTAAAAATGTCTTATTATATTTTTTAATATTAAACCTCTTAAAAAATAATTTATATTTTTTAAGCAGAGTGAGTATGTGTGAGCACGCTGTGTTATAAATAATCTAATATAACAAGGTTATGATGATATGCTGCTGATAAAGTATACATGCAACGATGCAAATTAATACTTTTAACCATAGTATTAAAAAGAAAAGTATTTATACTCACGGGACAGCAGCTTATTCTTTAGAGTTCAGACTCCATATATGTGCAATGGATCAGAGTCATATATCCGTTAGTTTTCTTTTCTTTTTCTTTTTTTAAGAATAAAGTTATCAAAATATGTTTCAGCAGTCCCATCCACGCATGTGTGTTTTTCAAAGAAGAAATATTGGTTGGCAATGAATTTCATGCTTTGTTTGTCTGTGTGATTTGGCCACTAATTTCTTCATAATTGACTTTTGATAAATTTAATGACATAATTTTTCATCCGAAAGTAGCTCTTAACAAGAAGGCACGAGGAGATGTTATGGTAGGGGTGTGTTTAGATTAAAAAATCACCACCTAAGATTAGAATGAACTGCAAACTGAAATTAAAGAAAAAAAAAAAAATATATATATATATATATAATTGTTACGTGATTTATGTTTAAATATTTTATTCAGAAGTTCCTTTTCCTTGCTTCATATTTAACTCATGGCTTCTTTCTAACGCTCTGTAAAAAAATTTGTACCCAAGCGAGACTGAAGGTTTTCTATTAAGCTTTTGATGCCTCAACTGAAGTCTGGGGCTTTGGGCCAAACATACCCTCAATCAGACTACCAACAAGTGCTAAACACTTGTTAACCTTCAATATCTTCTTTTCGTGCTTCCTTCAAACCACAGCATCTTCCTCTTGCTTTCTTTGCTGTGATTTAATAGTGGATTTGGATAAACAGCATGCAATCCTCCGGATTAGCTATTGATTTTGGCACTTTTGTTTTGTCTTCTCCCTCCTGCTTCTAAACTTTTTCCATCTAAACTAAACTAATGCTCTGTTTGGATAGAGAGAAAATATGAGAAAAAAGAAAATTAGAGAGTAAGATAGGAGAGGAAATAACTTTTTCTCTGTTTGGAAGAGGAAAGAAAAGTGAAAGGAAGGAAAAGTGGGAGAGAAAATGGAGTATGGGATCTATTATGTTTTTTTCTCAAGTTTTCTCTCCATACATGGAGAGATTTTGGAAAGAAAATCATTCTTCCATGTCTGCACTCACTCTCTCACGCGTTCTCTTCCTAAACCTGGCTACCTTATTTTTTGTCTTCAACGTAGATAATGCCTCAACTGCTGACATGCAATGCTTTCTTCTTTTCACAGTATACCACCAACACAAACTCTTCCATGTAAAAAAAAAAAAAACTACACAAACTCTATTATTAATTATAAGGACACTGTTCATTTAATGGAAGCACAATATTGAGTGGGGATAATTTTGGACAGAGTATCCAACTTAGACAAAAAAATGTTATTGTATTTGATTTTAAAACATACATAATTTTTATTTTTTAAATGGAAAAAAACAACATACTTTTACTAATCTATTTCATATTAAATTATAATAACATGAAAATACATTTTTTATGAACTAATTTCCTTTTAAATTATTTTGATGATGTTAATTTTAATATAATTTTTTAAATTTATTTTCATAAAGATAATTATATGACATGTGATATATTTTAATATTAGGGTATTATTGTCATGATAATGTTTACTCGTTTTCTTTCCTCTCTATTTTCTCTTGTCTATCCAAATACAATAAGTAATAATATTTTCTTCTTAATTTTCTCTTCTTTTTATTTTTTTCTCCTCTCATTTTCTTTCCTTCATAATTTTTCTTTTCATCTAGACGGAAGGTAAAACCCAGTCTGATGTATTCATAAACCCGGTCCATCATGTTTCGGGTTTGTTCTGAGTCAAACCAGACCGTACGTCCAAATCACCAGCTCGAAGCTTTGTTAGGCCGAACTTCAAGTTTGGTGATAACCCGATCTATCCCAGTCATTGTGCAGCCATACAAACAACACTAAATTTGTATTATATAACTTGTATTAGGGAGTTGTGAATCTGACTACGGTCTGTTACGATGACCACATGGAATCTGGAAATGGTAGGCCGACAATTCTCTTGGAGAAAAACAAAAAGGTAGAAGGCCATGAAATGTTCTGCGTGCAAAAAAGCAGAGAGAAAAAAAAATTCTTTATAGTTTATCCTTTAGATCCTCTCCATTTCTGATAGTTCAGTCCAATACAAGGGGATGATGGGATAAGATGGCTATTGGCTGAGCCATCTCTGTCAAGTTCCCAAAATACATTAATTAATTAATTAATTAGACTGAGCCATCTTTTTGGACATTTGACTTTGACAATAGATCCAAATATAATCCAATAAATATATGTGAACCAAGTTCAGTCGAAGACCACGAAATTCAAAATTTCACAAGGTAACGAAATCGTTAGATTAGGACTACCTGCTGTTACCAGAAATTTTTTGTTTTAAAGAAACACTCATAATATTAACTTTTATGTCAAGTTTAATTAATTTTCAGATGGACATGACCTTGTTCCTAATTTTTTTGTTTAAACTTCCAAGCGAGACAAAATAATCTGTTTATATTTATTACCAACAATTTAAACGTTCATATTTTATTTTGATTCAACAAAACAGAACCCACAAACCATTATCAAACTAAGTTTTCAATTCCGTGCTTTAAAAATGTAGATTAAAAATATATAATTTAACCCGTATGAACCAAATTTAGACGAGTTTTTAAATACCTGATAATTCTATGATGTGGGATTTTGGATATAGATATATGATCATATTCCTCGTAATAATTTTCAGAAAGCACATGAGAAGGTGGTGCACGACCTGAAGATGGTAGTATTGTTTTGAAGATACCATCACTTTCATTTTAGGTATACCGTGTATTATTATTGCAAATCTTATGTTCAAGTAACGTAAGTTTAATTTTTTATCCATGTTTTTGTTGTATAAGAGATTCTATAGGAGGGGAGCCTCCTCTGCTCTGCTCCCTACGAGAAAGGGGCGAATTTGAGCCGCCGAGATTTAAAGTCAACAGTTTAGATTTAATATTTTTAATTTTTATTTTAAATTTATATTTATTAGAATGAAAAATATATAAAAATTATAATTTTTTTAATAAATATGCTTCTAAACCCGACAATTCAGATTTAATATAGATAATTTAAATTTAATATTAAAAATTTAAATTAATCAGATCTACTCTAAGCAGTACATATATATTCTGAATAGAGTAGTAAACTTATTAAAAATTTTTAATATTAAATATAAACTATTTATATTAAATTTGGATTGTCATGATATTTTTATAACTTTTATATATTTTTTAATAAATATAAATTTAAAATAAAAAATAAAAATATTAAATCTGAATTGTTTCAATTAAATTTAAATGGTTGAGATTTATCCGTCCCTCAATGAGGCTTCCCTCCTCCGAGATTCTATCGTTTTTTTATTATTGTTCAATTCCTGATTTCCTCCCACTTTTTGTTCCCTTCCTTCTTTATTCCATTCGCCAGTTGTCGGCTGGAATATAAATTTATTTTACGCGTTTTTAGCAACTTTTGACTTTGTTTTTTTTTGATTTGGGCTAAATTATAGTACGTTACGAACTTTAAATTACATACCTCTAACATTTTTAACCTTTAAAATTTTATAATAAATTTTTCTCAATTCTTATATTTATACATATAACTTTATATAATTAATTTTATATATTAATTATTTATAAATAACTTAAAATTTAGAGATTAATCATATATCAATTAAAGTTTGATAGTTTGAATGTATACAAAAGTAAAATTTAAGGGGTATATAATTAATAGTTAGGAATTATTTGTTTAAACTTGAAGCTCAAGCAAATTTATTATTAAGTTTTAAATATTAAGACATTATTTAAATATGGTTGAAAGTTTTGTATAATTTAACCTTTAATTTATTAATAATTATTAATTTGAATATACATATATAGTAACATCGGAAATTAGTTCGAATTTAATATAAAACCTCAATATTTTCTTGAACGAGATCCTAAATCCGGATTTTTGTAAATAAGTAAACTATAAATTAAAATAATTTATGTAACTCCACTCAAAAATACTTGAGCAAATTCAATGCCAAAGATGATGATTTGGGTCAAATTTAGTAGACCAACTTAAATAAATTTAAAAAATCTTAAAATCAGAATTAGAAGTTTAGAATTTTTTTTTCTTTTATTTTGAACTTATTCAAACTATTAAATAAACTAAAATAAATTCAAGCCAAGCTCGAACTTAAATAAACTTAATTTAAATACTTGATTTTTATTATTATTACTAAAATAATATAAAAATAAGATAAAATAAAAATATTAATTTTTTAAAATAAAAAAAAAAAAAATAAAATAATATTTAATAATTTAAATATTCAAGCCTAACTCAAATAAGCTCAAAACTTTAAAAAATTAAAAATGTACTTACTATCTAAGCTTTTCTTATATATTAAAATATTTTAAATTTAATCTAAATAAACTTAGCTCTGTTGAACAGAGCTAAACTTGATGAGCACAACCTCCCAAATTATCTGCTCCGCTTGATGCTTTATTTTTTGAAAATGACATAAAAAATAACGAAAGACGGTGAAGGGTCACTAGAAAGAGACGGTTGGGCCCACTTTGAAACATGCAGGACCCACAACAAGGTTCCACCACCACCCGTCTCTGGCTCTCTCCATCCCTCGCCACGTCATTTTTCCCGAACGAAAGTTAGATATAACAAGGTGTGGTTATAGAGTTACTTTCAAATCGCATTAACAAGATGTTCAGATAGACAAACGAGAGTTGAACCCATCATTTTATGACTTATAGGTTAAATCCTTAACAATTAGATCGATTTTATTGGCTCCTTCATCTTTGATTTTTACTTGAAGTGCTTCGATTCCTATAACCTTCGTAGTTCAAGGGAATTAATACGAAAAAAAACAAAGAATATAAATTAAGGAAAAAACTGGAATATTTATGGACATTAAAAAGAGTGAAAAGATTGAGAGTTTGAAACAGAACTAGCTGTTATTTATCTACCCATAATAAAAATTACAGCCACATAAATCTCTCTGCGCTACAAAAATAACCATACAGATACAATAATCCCCATCAAAGTAAGACACAATCCCGATTAAAAATTGAAAAGTAACGTTACCAAAAAAAAAAAAAAAACCTTACCTAAAGTTTAACCTGACGTTTGCAATTCATATCCTTGACCGATTGGCCATTAATATCAATAGTCAAAGAGCAATTCATCCTCACTTCCACGTGTTTCTTCACGATGTTCCAAATATTCACCCTTCCCGGAACAATCGAGTAGCTCGTCATGTTCATCTCGCCGGCGCCGGTGATATCCGTGAAGAGGTCCGAGCTTCTCATCAGGCGGTCCGCCATGACGTCTACCGTGAGGTTCATCGGGAACGTGCTCCGTGCCTTCGCCCGGCCCGCCGGCCCATACGCCTCCGCCACCGTAGTGCCGTGGTAGTCTATGGTGGTGGTGGTGTTGTCGAACCTAAAGGACACCGCATTAGGATTTTTGATCGACATGGCCACCGCGAGAGTCATATTACCCCTAATTTGAAGCCGAGGGACTGCATCGACCTTGAGATCCAGATTTGTGACTTTCACCTGATTCATCGTTACCTTGGGATCTTTGACCTTGAACACTGTAAATATTAAGATGATGATGATAACTACAACTAGAAGTAGAAGAGAGAGTGATATACATCCACACCATTTCATTCTTCTCCGGCGAGCTCCCTCATCGGACCCGGCGGCCGAAGTTGGGGCTAGGGGCTGGGCTTGCTCGGGCTCGCCGCCCATGGCTGACTGGAGAAAAGAAATGAAGGAATTGGATGTGTATGGGAAAGATGAAGGCGAGTGAATTTACTTGGTGGGCGAGAATATATACGTAATTATTTAATTGAGTCAATTGTCCGCAATATTTAGTGTGTTTCCTGTTTGTTATGGAATACAAAGAAACTCGGAAACGGACTTCTATTGGACTGCGGAAATATTTTATGATGAACCGACTAAGCAGCAAGCAGGTTTAGGGCCCCACTCTTGAAAGTACAGATGTATAAACTTTGACCTTTTTGTTTTAATGTTTTCATTTTAAATAAAATAAAATAAAAGATGAACACTTTTTCCCCTCCAATGTCCTGAGAAAACTTTCAAGTTTATTTATTTATTTATTTTGCCACCAGAAAACTTTCGACTTTGGAGAACATGGAAAATGAAGTCATCCGAAAGAAAAAGGAGAGTCAGTCTCGCGAGCATTAAAGACATTCCAGTCAACAAAGAAATCAACGAATCAAGTTTCTGCAGGGCAGCTTCAAGGGACATGAGATAAGACTCATAAGAGGCATGATATTCCCCCAAAAAATAATTTTTTTATTTTTAGCATATATAATTTTTACGAGGATAAAAAATTTTAACTTCATTTAGAATATCTTCCTTCAATGAAAATAACATAATTTTAAACAATATTTCAAATAATTATTATTTTTTACTCGTGATATTTATTATTTAATATTTATGATCATGTTAGTCTGGCAGCCTGCCGTGCAGCATGGGAAGGGCATATGAGCACGGGACAGCTCCCAACCTCTCTCGTCAGGCTTTTGGTGGCCCCCACCACTTTGCCACCGCTTCTTTGCTTTGGCCGCCTGGCATAATACTAAGACCCCGCATTTGCAGCATTAAAGCTAAAGGATTAAGACGTTTTTTTATCCCAAATTCTAAACATCGGAAATTATCATTCTCTTACTTGCAAAGAAGGAAAAAGGAAAAAAAAAAAAAAGGAAAATTGTCATTCAACCCAATGGAGGTGAATAGCCCATCAAAAATTGAAGAAGTGCAATTATCAAAGCATGAGCCATTAGGAATGAGGTAAATATGTGATAATGATCTTAATTAATTGACCGGCTTGATCAATAAGATAAAATTGTGATAATGATGAATTTAGTTAAACAATAAGGTGAAAATGTGGGAATAAATTTAATTATCAATTAAGTTTCAGTCACTAAGATTTGAGAATATAAAATACACTCACAAAATTTAAAGATATAAATAGATAGATTTTTTTAGGAATACTTTACATCCTGCATTGACAAGTGATATAATTTTTTAAATTATTTGTTTAAGAAGAAATTTTTTTTGTTCACCAATCATTAACTTTATTATTTTTCACTAACGTGACGTGTGTGGTTTCCATGCACAATGACATCTAAAATTTATGGTGCTAATTAGATGAATATTCATCTAAAATTATGTTGTCTTACTAAATTTTAGGTGCCAATTAGTAAAACGCATGGATTCCATGTACATGCCGTGCCAATGTTTGTGAGAATCTATGGTGTTAATTAGTTATTAACTTAGTCATTTCACGTAAAATTAGTTTGAGCCGTTGATATTTAAAAAATAATTTATAAATTTTAGATGAATATTTATAAATAATAATATTTAAATTATTAAATTTTATTTTGATTATATTTTAGGGTATCCAAATTTCATAAAAAAAAATTTTAAGGTGCCTAGCGTCCTTAAAAAAAGAGTTCAAAAGCAAATCAAGACTAAAACATATTGTCAGAATCCTACATATCACTATATGGAGGCTTCACGCATTTGACACATTAGCAAAAAAAAAAAATTAATGACAGATTTACAAAAATAGTTTTTTACTCCTCGAAAAAATAACTCAGGAATAAAATTACCTTACTTATTAATACAGGATGGCCAACACTCCTAAAAAAAGTTTGAGAATTAAAATACACTTTGACCCAAAAGGTAAAAGTTCTAAAATCAATTTTCCAAATATAATAAAAAAAACTAACGGTTAATATGTTTTAATCAATAAGTTTATCATTAAATCAACTTCTCGAATTTGCAATACTGCTGGAATTGCTAATCATAATTATTAATTAACTCAAAACAGGTCGAATCTTTATTTGTGTACATTATAGAGTATGCCACTTTTGGGCCTAGTTCACTTTCAGGTTCAATTAGTATGATTTAATTTAGTAACAACATCAATCAAGGATTGCTAGAGGAATATCAATAAAAATTAATAAATTTTGAAATTACACCACATTTTTTTGATCCTTAGATGAAATTAATTTTTTATGTAAAATGACTAAATTGTCCTTACAAGTCAAAATAAAAAAGCCATCCTCACTATCACTAGTGTTAGCCACCAGCCTGCTGTTAAAGAATCTGCTTGTGGTATAATTGTACAAGTATTGGCCATTGATCAACAAGCATCTATTTATATTTTGACAATAACTCATTTAAAATTAACATCAATCTATTCATGTTTTTACAAGTTAAAAAAATTGACAAAATGTGATTAATTATACTTATTAGCTTTCATCGATAAGTATTTATTCAGATTTAATAACAACTCTTTTGTAATTAATAACAATACATGTGGTTTTTTTAACAAGTAAGATATATAAAGTTTTAAAGCTCTTAATTTATAATTATTCATGTTAGATTAATAAGTAACATTCGTAAAACAATAAGTGTCATTCAGGAACTAACAAGACACTATTATATTATAACATGTAAGTGATGTAGAAGCTCCAGTGATCGGCCGCTAGCGATCCCAGATAGCAGGGGCTCCAATGACTTTGCCAGTGGTAGTCTAGTGGCCAACGTAGGTGATAGTAGGGGTAATTATGTTATTTTACATAAAAAATTAATTTCAACAAGGACCAGTGACTGTAGTGCAATTTCAAAATCTTCATTAATATAAAATTTCTAACAATTTTTGGTTGATATTTTTTCTTTAATTTAAATTTCATATGCAGATTACGGTGTAGAGAAACTTGGGACTATTTGATATTTTAATCGTCAGGAATGATAAAATAAAATGAATAAAAAATTAATATAAAAATAAAGTAAATTATCCTTATCTCATAGTGAGAGAAATAAAACCTAATATCACATACCACAAATATGATAATCACTATATTTTTCAAAAATTTTATAAATTCCCATAAATTATGACTGCTAACCTCAAACTAAATCGCTCTTCTTTCCTTGTAATTATGATTAATCGACCTCCCATCCTCAAACTAAATGTAGCTTAAGGCTACATTTAACACCCGAAAGTGAGAACGGGAGGTTGTTGCATTTTACCCTGACATTAAACGGATCCATAATTAAGGAACTGGATGCATTCAGAGAGGCACATGGGCCTGGAATTCATTACTCACAAGTGGACTGTGCTATTCAAGAAAGGGGCAGCTTGTTTATAGGAATGATTTGATAATTTAATTTAAATAATTATGAATTTTTTTGTTATTCTAATTCTGATGATATCTATTTACACAGTATGTTGTTAGTTTTTATTATTTGCCATGCTCTAATATGCATAGCTAATATTAATAAAAATAATTACACAGCCCCACTATGTATAAGGTAATATGGAGAAAGTGTCTACTATAAATTATTATTTTACAAAAGATTTTCCTACAAAATTTAACATCTATTTAAAAAATACTGTCATATATGATCCGTGCATAGCATAGGTATTTTACTAGTTTTAATTAAAGTAAGATAATACTTAAAAAGTGATATATAGGTGTATTGTAATTCAGTATGTTGTTATTTTAGTTTTGACCCATAAAATTTAGATTTTGTGAGTTTGAGTTTGTAGTCGTTTTACGTTATGATCTCATTATATCTGAGTCGTTTTACGTTATGATCTCATTATATTTGATCTTTCATCCAATATATATATATATATATATAGGTGCCTTCCCCCCCCTCCCCCCAAACAAAAAAATCACAAATAAAAAAAAAATGTGTTGAGCATTCAAAATTCCAGATCCCATATCACAGTCTCAGTGTGTGAGTATACATATATCCTCCAAGAGTAAGACTACTAAATGCTGTAGTTGTTGTGTGATTACGTCAGAAAGAGAACTATCATATTGTCCACTTGAAGAGAGCTTTTAATATATGCATGCTAAAGAATAATTTTTTTTTAATTGGATCTACATATGCAAACTTGGAAAATTAATTTTGTGAATTCTTTAATTTGCACGTTCTCGCATTAGAATTCCTTCGCAGCAGATTCAATACCCTTTAAGGGGAGATTAATCAAAAACTTAAAGTACCTTCTTTAATTACCTTTTACACATGGTTTCATAACATTAAAGAGGTTTAATATTCATAATCTCTTCTAACTTTCAAAACCAACAAATAACGAGGCTTAATTTGTTTTGATTATTTTACAACCAGTGTTTGATGGCTCAGTAAGGGCGTGCATTTGGTTGTGCTCATGAATAGTCTGGGGAGTGCAATGTATCCGGTACCAGACTCCGAGTTCTCGAGTTGCCTATTCTCTCCTCCTCTGTGTTACCGAAGTATATTATGTCAGTCTTTATTACTCCGTAGCCCTATTAATTTTGCAAGATAAGTCTATTTAATCTATCATGCAAACAATTTAATATGGCAAAATAATTCTTAAGAATAGTGTATTGGCACGGATCAGATTTTAAATTTACCCACTGGTTGAAACACTAGAAGACTGAACCGAGGCATGACTGGGCCGGACTTTATCTCAGCGCCATGTACTTCGTTCATATATATAAAAGGCGAACAATCCGAGTAAACTGACAACATTACACCAAAAGTAATGGAAAAGAAACACCAGATGGAACATGGGAATGTAGAATTATTGATGAAATGGGAATAAAAATGGCGCCATCATGTATGTGAACTGTGAAATGAGTGGCTAGGCGAACCAATCGGAGAGGGTGGGAAGCTTGATCTCGCCCTGTTGAGAAACAGGAATGTTGATGTTGCCGATGACGGGAAGATCAATCACGAATACCAAATCCAATTTGTAGTCTATGTCCCAATCCCTCGCTATGTCTCTCCCCAGGCTCACTAATATACTGTGAGCCACCTTCACCGGCACTTCCACCGCCGTCGACGCCTTCGCCTTCAACGACCCCGGGTCTGGTATCACCCCCGATGCTATCTCCCTGTAATCACAGTATTACTTTTCAAGGACCTTCAAGCTTCCATTAGTTTTCTACTTTGTAATATGACTTTAGAGTACGTACCTGCCGTCGCTCTTGAGCGAGTAGGATATTTCACAAATGGGGAGAGGGGTTGGATAAGGATTGGAAACAGAGACGTTGGCCGAGTACTCCACGCCCTCGCGGCTCACGCGCTTGAAGTCTACGTCATCAACACTCGCCTCCGGCATGGGCACGTCCGCGATCTTCTTCGCTACGAAGTTCTTCACGCTCTGCGACAGTTTCCATACAACGATGATCACGCTCACAGATACCACAGCCACTGTCACTCTCGTCCTCACCAATCCCCTCTTCATTTTAAACAATTACAATATAGGAACGTCGTCGTCTCGAGAGGAGGCGTCACGTGACGAGGTGGTGATGCACGTGACCCCCGGTTTCTCAGATCTGAGATTCTCCCCGACGACGAGAATGGGGGATAGATCCAAATCCGACGACTTGGTACTATTCCTATGTGCGGTCGATGCTTTTTTTTTTTTTTTTCGGTAAGATATGTGCGGTCGATGCTTTTGTGGGGAGGATTAATATACGGCGGGTGGTGTGGGTGGTGTGATGATGTTGATTGGGACATTGCAACCTCTTGCCCGGCCGCCACCTAAATAATTCACCCACAGACGAGTGTACTGATATGTCTTAATTTAATCAGGATTGTTGTTTTATAATTATCTGGACATACATCGATGATTTAGTTTCAGGTACATTACATATAAGAGAGAAATAATTGTTGTGAAGGCGTATGTATCACTGGTTTTCTTTTCTTGCTTTATGAACAAAATAAGACGAGAGGGGGCTGGAAAATTTTGCGTGCGTCATTCATATCGACAAAGAACATGGGATTCTATGTATGTGTTTTTTCGAAGTTGATTTAAAATAAAAACTTGATTATGGAGAACAAAGAAAAAAGACTAAACGATGAGAAGAGACGCGTGCATATGTGAAGGAAAAAATTGGAGAGAAATGAAAGAAAGAAAGAAACTGACCTCCATTGTTGAGCGACGAGGTTTATGAGTAGAAGGAAGAAGAAAATGTGGTGAAAGGAGAAAGAATATAAAAATGGAAAGAAGGTATATAGCTTAATTTGTGCATCTCTGCAACCCGGCGTTACTTCTTTATATAAAGGATTGTTCTGTGACAGGTTAATAGCCAAAACTAGCCTACAATTTAAGGTATTAAAATTCCACTTAATATGATAATGACATCCTCCGGTGATTAAAAAAATATTTTATATTATCATATATTTCATGGTCTTTAATTTAATATAAGACGTTATAACTAACCTCGTGCTAACTTCTTGTTTATTAAGACAGTATTAGCTATAATCTTAAAATTACAAAAAAAAATGTTACTTTTTATTTTTACCTTGCTATGTAATTAATAATTTTAATGAATTGTTATATAAGAATTCAAACAATAATAAATAAAAGAGGGATAAAATTATAAAAAAACATAATTACTCTAACTCCATCTAATATTAATAATAAAAAAAATTTCAAACTTCTTATAATAAGCACCACAAGGAGTACAAATATGTGTGGGGGCATTGAGGAAAAAAAGAGAGTATATATATGGCCATAACTTGAAATTAATAACGGTAGATCTGGCCAAAAAATAAACGAAATTAACGCTTGTGGAGATTCTCGTGACATTTTTTTTGGGGAATGGTGTGTGGCTCATATATTTAATCTGTCATTCTTTTAAATATTTGGAGAAGAAAGGTGGTTAAGAATTTCGTTTTTGTCAAAGGGGAATATCGGAATTTGGAAATGAATATGCAAAAGAGGTTATACGAAACAAAAGCGCGATTATATTTTGATATGACAAAAATATGATTCGAACAATTAATTACACGTAAGATATCAAAATTAAATCACCATAAGGGTATTCTCATAATCAACAAGATCCGGAGCCTAGCAAGCTTAATAAGGAGTAATGAACTATCTAATATGTATGTATATGTATTAATTATATTCCCTCATTTGTGGCGATCGCTCCATATAAAATTTTAGATTGATTCGGGAGAGGGGTCCCTTCCTTTCTTTTCTCCCCTTTTCTGTCCTTTTCTCAACCCCCCTCAAATTTATAATTAAAATAAATTTATTTAATAAAATTAAATTAATGATGGGGATTGAGGAAAGGAGGGAAAGAAGAGAAAAGGAAGGGAGAGACCCTCCTCCTGGAGAATATTAAATTGGAGCTAATAAATCACCGGGCATGACGTAAGCCTAAAAACAATCCATTTGCATGTGGCTTTTCCCTTAGCTTGCTCTTCAATCATCAGTAATTAAATATATTTTCCTATGGACTCTACAGATTCTGGGATGATTAGTTGTTTCACTCACATGAATGCCGCTTGTTATATGTTATATGTTGAAAGGAAAAACGCAAAAAATAATTGTACATTGTTTGGTCTCTGATGAAAATTGGAAAAAAGTAAATCAAATTATATAAATAAATTAGACCTAAATTCTAAATTCTGGTTCAGATCTGGTACGTAGCTCCTGCATTTATAAAGGCAAATTGAAAAATAATTAGGGACTCACTTCTTTCAAGTTTCAACAAACTAGGCTGCATTGTTGGGAAGCTACCTGCCCATATAGTACTGCCTTGTCTTGTGCCCATTATTATTATTTTTATTTGCGCATGTATTTGAAAGGACAACATAGAACATCAAAGTTTTTGAAAATTAATCAATGCTGTCTTCATATCAATTTATAAAATATTTTTAAATAAAATTATAGATACTAACAAAATTCATTAAATACACCTCAAAGTCTTATTTTTTTTAAAAAATATATAAATTCTTAAAAATATTTTTAATTTAATACTCCGTCTATATATAAAAGGATATTAAATAAAGAGAATATAACACAAAAAATATAATATTGAAAAAGTATTATTAACAAAGTATTATTTGTATCAAAGTGTTTTATATTTTGAAATGATAATTTTTTTAAAAAATATCTTATAATTAGAATGGAAGTAGTAATATAATGAGAGAGCGTGATCATTTGAGTTAAACCCAGCTACAATTGTGAGAAAATCATTGCCATTCTATATTAGTGTCCTATCCACTCTCACGAGTTCTCTCTCAAACCTATTTTACTTAGTGCCACATCTCATGTCAATAACAAATCTAGGCTCCATGTATTACAAAATATATATATATATATATATATGTATATATGGTATTAAAATTTAACTCAAGTTCTGTTGGTTAGACTAGTGAACTGTGAAACTAGTCTCTAAATTGGTCAAGGCGAGAATTTTGGATAGATAAATGGATCAAATTTTATTTACATTTCCGTACTTTGTTGGGCCTAATAGCAATATTGTGATGACAATATCGTTTTTAATTTAAAACCATGGGTTGGGTTTGCCCAGTTTCAATCACGATTTAGGTCATCGATTTCTTGAACTATTACCTTAACTGATTTAATAATCGGTTTTAGTGTATTGCTTAAAACTAAAACTAATTTAATATAAGAGAAATAAGTCGGTCAATATCATTATTTATAATTGTGTACTAGACAAACAACGCGCTAGAAATTCTTACTTGTTAGTTTATGAACAGGAATTCTTAATCTGAACTCTGCGTAAAAATCAACTCATCTTCGTTTCTATTGTTGAGGATAAAGCAATAAACCAACACATGTCTGGCCGTATCATAGGGATGAATTAAGCCAACCGTATCTACAAGCCCATCAGCAATTTGAAGGACCACGTAAATTACAGTAAATAAGGTAAAATTATATATGTATGATCACAAACGCTCTATGTATAAGCTGTGACAAATTTATATTTTTACAACCAAACCAGTACATAAGATTAAGTAAGCAGAATAGTACGCACACATAGAATAAGAAACAGAAGCAAAACAAGTTTTATTATTATACACAAATTTATTCTTTCTTCTGACATGAGAAGCAAACATGCATGGATTTGAAACTCGATGGATGAGGAAAGATGGAGGTGGAGCTAGAATCTGGTGAGGAACTGGATTTGCTTGAGAAGAGGAGTGAGGGTTTCCATGAGCTTCTCACAAGGGTGGTTGTGAATTCCCTCGTACGTTGTCACCACTATGCCCGTGTCCTTCGACAGCCTCTGCACTTGTTTCTTCACGTTGCATGTGTGATGCGTGCATCTGTAGTAGCTCCTTTTTTTGTTTTGTTTCCCATCCAACATGTCATAACCACACCACATCAATATATATAAAATCATCTCATTCATATGCATGCATGTAAACCTTATTAATTTCGATTTGGATTCCACAAGGAACAGATTTTGCCAGAGATATAGCTAGTAATAGTCCATTACAACTGTTGATTTGCAGCTCACATGATCCTGCCATGTTGCTTAGGGATCGGAACTAATGGAACTTTCAAGAACTTATCTTAAATTTTAAAATATTATTATTATTTACAAGGTGTATGCACACACACACGAAAACCAAAAATAAAATAAAATCAAGATATCTATTCTATTTCTTGAATAACACGATTTATTAGTTTTTAACCGTGTGGGTGTGGGTGAAAATAGATGGATTACCGATGAAGTTATTGCATGATTTCTTGGAAATAAGTGTTCATTAAGATGGATTGGATCTACACTATCAACAAACATCACCTAATAAAAACTGATTTAAAGTAAACCGAGTCGAGATAAATCATGACGATAATATGACGATGCGATTAAAAACAATTAGTTTAACCAGTTCTTGTTAGTCTGACTTTTTAGTTCGTGATAAACATTAACAGCCCCTTTTCTTTTTCGGGTAATGGTGGCTTTAACCGTGTAATTGAACTCTAAGCTAAGGACGAGGTTTATAACTAATTAAACTATATACACATAGAGTTATCCAAAATAAAAAAGGACTCTAATACTTTTACATTGAATTTCACAAAAAGTGCAAGTTTTAAGAAACAAGTAAAGAGTAACTATATGCACACTTTGAATTTACAAACTAGGATTATTGGAGGGTAATTGTGAACATTAGTGCGTGGGTTGAGCTAGCCTGATTTTAGGTCTAAATTTACTCTACCGTATATATATGGTCCCGGCATTGTTTATCAAACCCTGGATTCTCTCAAACTGGGCTTAAGTTATTTATTTCTTCACGCTCTTAGCCAATTTATCTCAGTTAATCTGTACAACTAACAGAGAAAAGGCGAATTTGATGTTTTCTTTTTTACCTTTTACTCTATGTATGTTCTATTTCTAACGTGCCGAGATATTCATCATTATCTGGCATGTAAAATAATCTCCATTATATATATTAGCATGTATACTACTGTATCTTATTCTTCTTACATTACTACTTCATTAATTAGATGACACATTTGTCACAATCATAAGGAGCTGTAAGATCGATGCTTAATTGTGTCGTTTTAGCATTCTGCTTATAATAAGAGTGTATGTGGAGATTACTTCTGAGGGGAGCATACATATATATATATGCACGTCTTTGAAAAACAAATTAACGAGGTTGAAACGACCTCTATGAGATTGCTTTTTCAGTTCCAAATTGAAGCCTATCATCAAAGGTTTATGTATTGATGACATGGAATGTGATGAAGAAAGAAATTTTAAAAAGAAAAGGACTTTGTAGTTTAAGCACATTAATCCTCCTCAGAATGGACATTGGTGGGCTGGAATTGTTTGCACAAAGATTTTACTGTAAACTATTTCATTTTATCACTTTCATTTAATTGGGTTTCAAACTCTTTGTAATTTTTCCTTCTCATTTTATAAAATTTTTTAAAGTGATTTGGAATCCCAAAATATAAGATGTTTTTGGGGAAAAAGAAGTTTTAAAACAATACTCCTTGCATAAATTTTCTTTTTCCCTCCCTCTTTTATTAATGAAGGATATTTTTAAAAATTTATAGAAAAATTAAGATTATAAATTGTAATCAATGAATTTTATTGATGTGCATAATTTTGTTAAAAAATATCTTATAATTAAATTGGGATGAATAGAGCATTATTTACCTGTTTTTAGGGGGAAAAAGTTTATAGATTTCTCCTGTAATTATATATTTGGGTTTCGAACCTATATGGCTTTACTTTCATTTTAACGCATATAACCATTTATAGGTATCTTCTGACTTCTGTAATTATGCGTTCATTATTGCATTATGCTTCATTACTTGTCATCATCCTAGTGTCCGTTAGGAATAAACACAACTACTTTTTTAGGCGATCAACAAGGTTGTTGAACTTATTTTTTTCATGGCTGCACTTTCTCATTTTTCTTATCATTCTTGTCAAACTAATTAATTTGTTTAGAACAACATTACGAATAACATGAAGGGAATATGCAGGCTGTATCAAAGGATTAAAAAAAACTTATTAAAGCAGATTTACAAACCTGGGATATATGCTATTCTTGACAGCTTTCTGGCCATACTTCCTCCAACGGTAACCGTCGTCGAGAATATCATCAGCACTTCTCGTCTGAAACGCAAATCTCGGCCTCGTCGTTTTCTTCATCCTCCCTCCCCCTTCTCTCCTTCTCTCTTTATTACTGCTTTCCTTTTCCATGTCCTCACGACGTCCATTCATTTCACCCATTAAACTCGAGGAAGATAAAGCAGCAGCACCTTCCACCATTGGCTTGATGGCGTCCTCAACCCCAACCTGCAAGTTGTTTTGCCCTGAGAAAATGTTAGCCCACTCAATGTCCATCAGTAGCCCTTGTGGGTCCATCGGCTTTTCCAGCACCGACGATGCCGGTGAGGCCGGGAAGATGAAGGCAGGGTTCTGAAGTCGAGGGTTTGGTGGGTCCACCTGCAGGAGGTGGTTTTCCATGTTGAGATGACTTAATTAGGGTTTGGCAGTGAGAAACGGAGAGAAGTTAATGGAGAGAATGAAAGAGCGTTTGAAGGTTGAAATTTATAGAGGGAAGTAGAGGGGCAGAAAGGTGGTGGAAAGTAGAAGGGGTTGGACAGACAAAAATAGGAAACAAAACAGATAATAGATAATTATAAATCTCTTACGAATTAATTTGATTAACTTGTTTTCTGGGAGATGGCGCGAGACAATGCATGTTTTCGAGAAAGAGAAAGAAAGAGAGAGGATTCATTGGTGATAACGGAGGTTGGTGGGTAAGGAAGGTTTACTTGTGAGAAATGGGAATGAAGGGAATGGAAGGAAGTGTAGGGTTTGAGGCAGTTGAACGGAAGTAGTTGAAATTTAGGTTGGGTTAAGCATGGCCTACAAGATACCTTGGCTTCTCTTCTCTTCATTCCTCCAACACCATGCTATTGCTCATGCTCATGCTCTTGCTCTTCTCACTCTTGAACTTGCCCCAACAACCACCCACCATTCCTTAATTAATTCACTCTCTTCCTTCCATTTCAGGACCCATTCAACTCTACTTTTATTTCATACTTCACACATGCTGAATTTGAATTTGGATACTTGAATAATTTTTCTCTTGTTAAGTTTTTTATAATAAAAATAGCTGGTTTATGTTCTTTTAGAAAGATCCACAAATATGTTGTTTGCCTCTTAGAAAGAAATCATCATTTCAGTGAAAAATCTAATAGTAAATAGAAACAATTATACTTTTGACTTAGGGTGTTTAATTTTATACTCGTTCTAATTGGCCTGGTTCAACTCTAATCATATTAGGATGGATCTTTCTTGATTCAAAAAAATTTGGACGAGTCTTTGCTAGATGGGACGGGAAGGGACGAGGTGAGGGATTTCCCTCAAGACATCCGGTCTTGTCCCAAATATTATATATATATATATATATATTATTTTTTATTTTAAAAATATATATCAAATATATTAATTATATTAATATAAATTATATTTATATTAATTATAATTTCAATATGCGCAAACTAAAACCTTTTATATTGATAATTTTAATGATACAAAGTAAGCAGTATAAGGTAATCTCTTTCTTTATAATGTAATTTGTTCTTATATTTATTTATTTAATAATTTTTGCGTATATCCTATTCTTGTTTTATTTCCAAAGGAATTACTAACATAACAAATATCAACTAAGAAATAAGAATAATGACTTGATATTGTACTTAGTTTGTCTATTGCTATTGCTTTTATAGCTTAGAGATAATTTCTAATTGCTATCATAATATATTATAACTTTAAATTATACAATTGTAATTGTGATTGATATAATTCAATAATTAATTTTAAACTATTGTGATTTATATATTGTGTTGTTTTAGTTTTAAATTTAGCAAGTTACTCCTTCCGTTAAAAAATGTAAGATTTTTTTAATTAAATTTTACTCTTAATAAAGTAGTTACCTACTTTCAAACTAACCTTATCTTTTTATATTTATCCCTATTAAATATTCTACAATAAATATAAAATTATTATCAATAGAGGCACTTTTAAAAAAAATGCAACGATTACGCTTTAAAAAATTAAAAATACCTTACATTTTTAAACATCTAACTCCTTAAAAAATATTCTATATTTTTAAATGGAGGGAGTATGTGATTTAAAATTTTAATAAATGTTGCCATCCAAGCTCTTTTTTTTTTAATATATTATCTACTTAATTAGGATGATAAGACATCTTGATCCCTAATAAAATGAGACAACTTTTAGGATAAAACGAGATATAAAACAAAATTTTAGTATCAATCATTTTTTAAAAATGGAACATGAGATAAGAATGTTTTGATCCCATCCTATGAACACCTTACTTTGGACCACAAAAAAAGGGAGAAAAAAAAAGCTACGCTTCAATTTTTAATATATGTGTAGGGTTTGTAACATACATGATAGCAGTGAAATACAAGTTCGATGAAAAATAATCTATCTATTATTAATTACACCAAATCATGGAATCATTTCAACCATGTATCACTCTCCACAACCATGAGAAATAACATCCATACATAGTTTGTTGTGATAAAATGAAAATAAAGAAAACATTTCAAAACCCAGAAACTATTGTTCAGGCTACTGAAATGCTAGCCCATCTCATCCTATACTACAGGAATGGATTGAGCCAGACGTGTTTACAAGCCCAGTTTAGCATACTGAAAGAGAGAACCCTGCCTGAAACGGACATGTACCATGGGGAAAAGCCCAAAAAAATAAATAAAAACAAGCAATTCAAGTGCAATGGGAAGATAGAAGCAAAAAACACAGCAACATTGACATCTATAAATAAAGCATGAAAAATTAGGATTCTGGAACCCGCATCAAGTCGATGAGCGTCATAAACTATTATTGGTGATGTCCGAACATAAGGATAAATCATAAATATTCAAAAGCCATGCTAGCTCTTTTTTTATATTATTAAATCATGAAGAATAAAATACATAAGATGCAGACGTAAATGAAGTTTTAAACAGGGCACTTCCAGCGTTCAATAACTCAAGGAACGTTTCCAAAATTTGATATGCTCCTTCAACTTGACAAATTGAAACCTTCAATTGCCTCTACATTAGCTCGATCCTCTCTTCGAGATCCTCTATATCCATTCTATCAACTAACTTGCAATGATCTTAACAATTGATACATACAAACCACGGAGCACCAAGAAGCGGAGTCTTGTGTAACTTTGGCATGGCGATCAATATCAGCTGATAATCATCTTGTTCAGAAATTCAGCTTGTTCAGGAAAATACTCCATCAGTTCATCCTTTGTCACCCAAACAAAATCCTCACACTTGCGAATGTTGAACTTGTTTTTGGCAATTACTTGTGACTTGAAGAAGAATTTCTGACAAGATTTCAGCAAAAGAGAAAAGAATGATAAGCACAATTCACAGTGAAAAATAAATGCTGCACGGGACCAACATGAAAAGCTATGCAGTACCACTACACCAAAACAGGGGGAAGACTCCCTTAAAGATGGATGCCAAAAAAAAAAAAAAAAATTGGATTGAATTTAGGAAAAGCCCTGCAAGAATGTAAGGCTGGATTTCTTTTCCAACTCTTCTTGGAAATAGTGCCTCAAATTGTTATAACTTATAATTATATTAAAAAACTTGATAACAAACATCTTAAGAATTGCACTTAATCTTTTCTACTATAAAATTACGTACGGCCACAAGCTAAAAATTACAATACCAAAGTAACGAAAAATTTCCCATAGAGGCACCTTGAAGGATGCAGACCCTGGCGCATCATCTGTAGACTGAAGGACCATATGGCCCATTGGAGCATTTCCAACAAAATAGGTGCTAGATAGATCTCCTATGACTGATTTTAAAGCAGACTCAGCACACTGCGAATTTTTAATAATTATGAGGGGGGAAAGGAAAGGAAATGAATGTAAAAAAAAAAAAGGGTCACATAGCAGCCTCTACCTTCCGTAGTGTCTCCTCTGATTCATAAACTTTTTCCGGAAAATGCCAGACGGGCTTCTCCCCTGGAGCCCCATATGGATTACCTTTCAAAAGAAGGTACAGTCTTCTGTCAAGAGCTCTTTGCAATGACCTAAAAGGTTATAGTTTAAAAATATTCAATAATAATGGACCAAATAATAATAATATCAATAACAAAAATGCGTAATCATGCAACAAGTAATTCATTTTACATGCATATTTTTTTCTTAACAGTTAAAAGACTACGTAAAACAAATGAGTTTCCACATCTTTCAGATTCTCAAATTATACAACCTACTTCCATCTCATTCACCATATGTAAACATTAAAACTTACACACACGAGCATTCTTCATTATCATTCAGATATGTGCAAGCTTGCTCAACATTCAGAAGGATGGGCCTAGAAACTACACATACAGTGGTGCAGTTATATATTCAGTGGTAGAACCCAACTATTAACTTTGCTTTTTAGTCAACCTTACAGATGATGCAACCTTAATGCATACCTTCTGTCATTGTTTTTGTCAGCTTCAGTGACTCGAGGAGCTGGCACATAGTCAATCTGATATTCACCTTTCCCCCTGGATGAAATATAATATTGACATAAAGCCATACAAAACCAAAAAAATTTCTGTAATTTTTCCAGTTATTTATCTCTTAAACGGATGCATGCAAGAAAGAGAGGATATTAGAAGAATATAGAGAAAGAAAGTAAAATAATAAGAACAAGTAGTAACCATATTACCTCAAAATAAGACCAGATGGAAACATACACATTATATTTCAACGAAAAGTTAATAGAATTCATTTTTCAGGTTATAAGAACTATATTGATGCGACAACTAAAGTTTCACTGCACCATAGAAAGTCAAAGGGACAGTCGAGACCAGTAAAACATATTAATAAGATAGCATATACAAAATTATAAACACTTCCCACTCAGAAGCACAATAACACATTATGGCAGTCTCCAAACTGAGTTAGCATGTCCAATTCAATAGCAAAAAGGAAGGGGAACATTAGAACCAAATCAGTTCTTCGATGAATCACAGCATTATAAGTTAATTTTCCCAGTATAAACAAGATGTAGACTTCAATGATGTCACCAAAACTACACCAGGGATTAAGATCATCATAATGAGAAAAACAGGAAATATGAAAATCATATCAAAGCATTGTATTTCAATATCAAGTGCTAAAAACATAAATAAAAACAAATTAATACCTTGCATTAGATCTGTCTAGAAATTCATCAGGATATCTGCGCCGATACTGCTGTTGCCACCGAAACCTAAGCATCCCATTCCCAAAGTTATAATAAATAATAGTTGTTCTAAGACAATCACCAACAGCATTGCCACTTAATAAATGGCACAGAGAATGAAGAAGATCAAAATAACTACAAGCACTGCTACAATCTGTTTTTCAAATATGCTGAGCAAAGTTAACCACGGCACAAACACTCACTTCGTCGCCCAAAAGATTGGAAGAGGCAAGAACGTAACGCTATGTTATATGCATTTTATAGTTCCCTTAATTTGGGTCTGTCAGAATCCAGGCCAGATCTAGGACTATGTCCTAGGAAACAAGTATATCATTTTGTCTTATGTAAGCTAATGCTTAAAATGTCGGCTTTAACACTCTCTTCCCCCATTTCTCCCGCAAAAGAACAACTCTTCCTACGCATTTGCTAGTTTGATCGCTTCATTCACCCCAAAAAAACAAAAAGTAAGAAGCCCAATGCCATTCGCTCTCGCAGTTCGATACACTTTCTGAGATAGCAAATGCAGATGGAAACTTACGAGAATTCTTGAAAGGCATAAACGACGGGGTCGATTTTGGGAACAACCACGGGCAGCCTCTCGAAAAGCACAGAAGCAACGATTTTCTCGGAGCTGGTGCTGAACCCTCGCCTGGTTAAGAAAGGCCGAACCAACGATCTCTGCATCCTTTATCTTATGAACAAAGACAAAGTTCGATCAAACAGCCAAAAATGCATACATGTGGAGAAAGGGAGGGATTATACCCTTTCTTTATTTTAATGAAGAGGAATATAGTCCCTCATTACAGAAATTATAAGCCTTGTAGAAAACGAGCTACTAGTTGCAGAATGAACAGTGAAGAAGGAGCACCAGATGGAGGAGGAGCCACCGCTCTACCTGAAGCCGAAGAGTAACGAGCGACGGCCTTGCTATCGTGACAGTGCGAGTTCGAGGGTTCTCGTTTCGTTGTATTGTATTTTCCCTAAACCATTCTAAGCCTACAGAAGTAACCTCACATGGTTAAGAAAGATTTTTAATTATTCGGTCAAAAGATTTGTTAAAAGATTTTAATAAACTATAAAATATAACAGTTTCTGCTCGGATATTCTCTCATAAAAAGATGATTAGGACTTCTTTAGAATTTCTTTCATAAAGAAATTTCATTAACAACTAATATCAATTTTTTTGTGTGAAAAAACTTGTATTATTTTTAAGTTATAATTATAAATAATATAATATATCTTAAACTTTAGAACTTCTAAAAGCCTTAAAGATCAAATGAGAGGAGGGATTTTGACAAAGTCATGGTTGCCGAGGCAATTAGTATTATGATTAGATGTACACTATTATTTGCTAACAAGCCTCACTGATAATATATAAGACAAGGATTGCAATGTTAATAGTTTGTACTTCACCGTTGGTCAAAAAAACAATTAGTTTGTGCTTCACTGCTTCCTTCATGTTGTGGAAGGTTAGTGGATTTTATGTAACATACTAACTAAAATATAACTTAATATGTATGGAATAAGTTAGGTCAAATCTCTCACAAAGTTGATTAAAAAAATTAAAACCTTAATTTAGTAAATCTACCCCAAACAATAACAACTTGAATTGGATTTAAAGATTGGAATTAAAACAAGTAAAGATTAAATGAAAACTAATATTTTGTGTATTTTATAAAAACTTAGACAAATTTGAAAATGGATAGAAAGTGTAATTAAAATGAAATGTTATGATTTTTCTAGACACATGAACTCCCTTTCTTATCCTTACTCTAATTAAGTTTCTCTTTAACCCCAATTAATTTTAAAGATATCCTAGTAATCACAAGAAATTAACCCTCTTAGATTTTTAAGACTAACTAGAACTCTAAATTATTCCTTAGAACTAATTGTACTCACAGATGACCAATTAATCATGAAGTTAATTACCAATTTCAACTCTTACCTTAACCAAATGAGACTTCAAATTCATTTTAAAATGGAATGGTGCAGCATGAATTTACAATATCAAGTCACATGGCTGTTGATGTCAGCCATATAGCTCTCCTCCTACCTACTTTACTCAACTGAGCCAAATACTTACAGTGAATTCCTACAATCCGGGTGTCATATCAAGTAACAACTATACAACAGACCACAAAAACAACTGTACTATACTAGTTTGTTAGAGGATTTAAACAATAAATCTCAGCTTCTTCCTATGCTTCAAGGTTTATTCTTTTCCAAGATAATGCATGCCAAAAGAAACAGCCAACTTGTATTTCAACTCAGCAAGAGATCCGTATCAGATTACATAAAATTCTGCTGGATTCTCATGACCGTCCGAACTTGCAACTAGTGGAGGTATTGTAGGGACTTTGATGCAGATACAAAGCTTTGTTTATCTAGAGCTTCCCCTGTATATCTTTCAACCACCTATTCACCTGATCTCTTATGCCAAATCCACTGCTAGGCTTTAGAATTTGCCTAAATAAAGCCATTTTCGGAACATTCCAGTGCTCCACATGTCTGAAGAATTTGCAGACGTGATGTGAATGTTATGTGGGTAGAAACTAGAAAGCAAAGTGGTCATGTCAGGCTTGACACTAATTAACCATTTCACGTACCTGCAAACTCTTCCAGATTGTGCATCAAAATAGTATTCTGTATATCCCGTTGCTGCAGTTTAAATGAACATGGTCAATTTCATGGCACATCAGTTAGATTAGAGTAGACTCATTCTTCCCAATCACTGTGGCATAAGCACATTTGGTCGAGACAACTAATTGAATTGAGTAGGCATGATTTCTCAAGCATTGTCTTAGATGAAGCACCTTATTCATAACATATAGTGTGGTTTGCTATAGATTCTATATTTTACATTGATATTGATTCCATTAAAAATCATGAACCTGTACTCATATCCTTTCCAGTTGTGCAAATATTACAGCAACCTCCCTTCACTTTTCATAAACATTAAGTCTTTCTCTTGGTGATTTGTAGTTTTGTACAACATTGAAATTGAATTAGGCTACTAGGAGCTAGGTTGCATAGATACGGGTATGAATCCCTGATACGATACAACATGATACGGTAATACGGCAAATTTTCAAAATTTTAGGATATAAATACAAAAATATTTATAATATATATTTCAACATTTTATGATATAGGTATATGTATTTTGATTTTCAAACGAGAATTTCTAAAATAATATAAGGATATTTATAGCAATCAACTAAAATATTAAGTGTTTTATCAAATTTTTAAGTGATATAACAAAATATTATTAGAAAAGAATTATATTATAAATGTTAAAATATGGGATATGCATGCAGAAGTATCTTACAAGTATTGTATTGGATACATATCGAATACGAATACATTTACTTTTTTAAAATATCCGTGCTTCATAGACTGCGAGTTTCTAGATGAAGCTGAAATGTAAATCACTCAGAGAGAATAGAAAGTTCAAGTAAAACACAAATATTCTATGGCAAGATTAAACCGACAAGTAGACAGCCTTTGGGCCTTCAGTGGTTTGGTTCAGTCGCTGGAAAGCAAGAAAGGTATACCAGAAAGAATGGGTCTCCAAGGAAACGATAAAATACAGCTGAATCGCCAGTGGCCAATTCCCTTATCCTGTAAATAAACCAGACATGCAGATCCATAATATGCCCGTTGGCTCAACGGGCCACTTGCAAAACTTGAGTTTGTGAAAGCAGTACTGAAGTCTCAGAGGTGGATCTCACCTCAAAGTCTTCCCACTTCATAAGCTTCATACTGGACTTTACAAGCAGTGATCCAAAATTAGTGCAGTTCCTTTTGAAACGTTGAAGCCCTTTGAAGGAGCCAGCTGGATCAGCAAATTCACAATCCTCTTCATAAGCATTCAAAGTGAGGTTTCCTGAGGGTGAAGAAGACCAGGTTAACAAAGTAAAATACCCATAAAAAGTATATGAAATCACTGGCCAGAATATATTGAAACATATGCTTCGGATTATGTTTGAGTTTATGGGAGCAGTCACTAGAGGTTGCTATGTTTGATGTGTCATAGGAAGTACACTTCAACTTTATGTAAGCATGTAACACAATTTGTACTTCTACGGAGTCTTGAGAGAATTGCTGGCTTTTCTGTTGGAGTTTTTGAGTAAGCAGCAACTTGTACAACTCTTCACATGCCAGGGATTCAGGACAAACTCAATTATTGGTTAAACCAATTTGACTGAAAGAAGCCAAAACTACATAAAAGATAGTGTATGACAATAGACCATGTAAAGTATCTTAATATAGGATGCAAAATATCTTTGAGGGAGCCAATTCATAGAACCAATCATCTTTCAGGAACTCTAATTAGGAATAAACTTAAACAAACAAACTGCGTCAGGGCAAACCTGTGACGAAGTAAGACTTTTCAAAGTCCTCTTTGATGGTTGCCACAATCGCAGCGCGATCAACTGCACCTGAACCATCTCCGGCGAGCTCAAGGGTTCTCTCGGGAGCTTCCTCAATTGAAGGTGAACGGAAAACAGAAGCAGCAACACCCAGAAGTTCAGAACTATACCATGCTATCTTGAGAAGTGCATTTTGGGGTTTGGGATCTTTTTTTGTCGAGGAATTGGTGGTTGGGTTTCCTCCATTGCAACGCACTCTATACGTTTTGCCGGGGGATTTCGATGGAAAGATCAAAGTATGATGGGAATTTAGGTGAGCACAAATGGAAGCTACGGAGGCAATAGTTGCCATGTGAGAAGCTCATGAGACAACAGTTAGTCGCGCGGTTTGTTTAAAAATCTGAACTTTCTGGCTTCTAAATAATTGATGGCCACAGAAAACAAGGGAATAATTTTTCTGGATGAAAATTTGGAGAGAACGGCTGTCTAATTTTGCAATTCGGCCTCGTTCTTAAAGTGAAAATTGATTGCCACTGTCAAAAAAAAAAAAAAAAAGATCGCCAGAGCATGTTTTACTTTTATGTTAAAACTTAAAAACCGCCAAAAGTAAAAACTTTTGTAAGACTAATCTTGCGCCAGAAGCCCCGAACTATACCATTTTGACAAAATTATTGTTTAGGATTTAATAGTTTTTATATAATTAATTGAGCTCGTAAAATAAAATTGCACGAATTTAAAAAGCATCAAAAACTAGAAAAATTATGGGATTGGGAGAGACAATAGCATAGAAATTTCAGGCTTGATATAATGATTCATACAATGATATAATTTATAAATAATCACCAGTATAAAGTATAAAAATTTAGAAGAGAACATTTTGGACTCCATACAAATACATGGAATCATTATAATTTATAGCTGAAAGAAAAACGTGTTAAGTTCTTTAAGTGAATGGTATGGTATACGATGCATCATTTATATTAGGTGGATTTAAAAATAAATACCGAATTATAAAGTATAAAACAATACATAGAAAGAAAAATTACAGTCATAAGTATCCAGAGACCGTTCAAAATTAAATCCTATTCTTGTGCAACCTCTGCAGATCATCTTTATGCAAAAACAATTCTGAATTCCTTTCCTAAAATAAAAAAGGGTAACGGTTCTGAAAGTGAAAACTAACAAATAAACAAGCACCCGGCCCCAAGCTGTGCCGTTTGCAAAAACGTATTCCCCTCCTAAAATATTGTAAATAGCAAGCTTCAAGGACTACAAACGTATTTGACTGGCGAATCACAACAGCACTATCTCATCATGAAAAGCATATCACGTTCTGAGTTATCTTCCCCCTCCCTGCTTGTTGCCAGTTCTGACGTTGTAGCCAACAATTAAAAGACGGCAGAGGAGAACTCATTACCTTGTTCCCCTTCATTCTCTCTGAGAAATTCTGTATATTACAGTGACATTCCGCAGTTCTCTCCTTTTGTTTGATTCAACATATCATCTCGATAACAGCAGGAAGAACACGAATTTTTCTGGGAAGGAACCCCAGATATTCCCCATCAGATTGAATATATACCCCACCCTTCCCTGAAATGTCCTCCACCTCTATAGAGTGCACCCTACAACACAAAAATCATCATGAATGATTATCATCACCAATTGTTAGTTTGGCATTACATTAAATAAGAAAATAAACGTTAAGCAAAATAGAGATGAAGAAAACAGTTTAGTTTCGCTGGACAAGATAGTATGTTCACTAATTATTATGAGAAACAAACACAATAAATGCCATCTGATACTCCAGAGTTAAGCTGCATATTTTATCACCCTAACATCCAAAACAGTCTGCTCATTAATGATGCTCAGACATCCAAATTTCATGAATCGTTGTCATCATAATTGTCATAATAAAGTCATGACATGTGAAAGACCAAGTTATGGTAGTCAGCTAGCAGGGTAGATTCTTTTTTTTAACCAGTTAACTTCACAATGAGAGAGCCCTTTTGTCATACTAAATCATTCTTGATTCGAAAGACAGTTTCAAAAAGTTCATATTATGAGCGGCCATCCACAAACTAATGAGGTCTTGAAGATTGAACAATTGTATGATGCGTTCTCCGGAAAAGGTGTTACCTTCTCGAAGATACATTTTTTACGGACAAATGTGTACCATTGTACAGTTTGTGTAATTTGAGGATGAAATCATACCACTTGAAGTTTTGAAGAATAACAACCTGAAGAATTTGGAAACCAAAAAAATCTGTCAACTTCAAGTTATTAAAAAAATAGAGGAGAATGCGCAGGATAAAGGAGCCCTTTTAGCCAGCAGATTTTTTAAAAAAGATGCTAATATTCATCAAGGAGATTTTAGGAAAAGGCGTTTCACCTCAAGATTTCCACTATGTGGATCAGCATTTGGTGTAATTTTCATGCCGCCACCAAAGTATTTTGCATTTCCAATGCAAAGGGCTGTAACTTGAGGACATGTCTCCCCGTCACCTTCATTCACCTACCAATTTTACATGCAAAACTTATGTAAGCTTTTTCATGCATTAATATAAAGCCTAAATACAAGAATATGGAGGATGTCTTTCAACTAGTTGCTTTGACATTCATAGCAACACAAATTAATATGTTACACTGACTTTGATTCTCAAATCCTGGTTATGATGCCCCATAAAGGCTTGCAATGCGCCAATGACATAGCATAGTTTACCAAATCTCTTGTACCTAGAAGCATAAAAACCTGCCTTAGCACTCCTGCAAAATTTTGCAAGGCATGTCTTTAGATAATGATCTGAATCATGACTCCTGAGGTTCAATCTTGAATTTTCAAGTTATCCTTACAAATGAATGTCAGCAACATTTATGAAGTAGTGATCTTCTCCATTTTCTCCAGTGATGACACCAACATCTATCCTTGATCTCACCCCTAAAGAACTCCCACGTTAGCATTTCTAAAAGAGAAATCAAAAGCAAACACAGTAACAGGTTTTGCAGCAAGATCTGCCAATCAGGAACAATAACATGACTTGAATAGCCCAAAAAGGTAAATGAAGATCAACACCTTTAGAAATGCGTTCAATGGCTTCGTAAGGATCATTTTTCCTGGAAAAGGAAACAGATGTATCCATTCCAATCAATTCTCTCAAGGTTATATGCTCCATACAGATTAGAGATTAAAGATGAAATAAGACAAAGAAACTATAACTTACCACCCAAATGTTCTTGCAAAATCAGAACCAGTACCCAGGGGAATGAGCTGTACAAAGGCAGAACATAGTTATATCTTCTGCTGAGAAATCCAATCAGAAGATGTGTTACAGATGACTAAGTCTAAGACCATATGCATGCGTTTCAATGAGAATATTGTATTACAATGACAAGAACTCACACCAAGAGCAGTTGAATGTGAAGGCTCTTTAACATGACTGGCAACAGGCTTTCCAGCCCAGAAGAAACCATTAACAACCTGCTTAAGTCGTAGTGAGTGAAGAGAATTCTATCAAATCAAATTCTACGAGATAACAAGGATGTTGAAATTCCAGAAACAGTGGTGCAGAATACCATCTAAATATTAGCAACCCAATGAAAAGATTTTAGAACAGACCAATTCAGACAAGACAAATTACAAAATGATTTTGCTTCCGACCCTGATTGTGTAGTAATTTGAATGAATGACAAGCAATCCATCGATTTAGATCATCAGTCTACATACTCAAGTTAAACATACAGAAAACAAAAGAGGGGGGCTGACGCTAAAGAAACTCGTATAGAAGGAAAAAAAGAAAGCATGCAGAAAACGTTAGCACCTCATGAAGAGTTCCATCACCTCCGACCGCAACGACTGCATCAGCCCCCTCCCGTATAGCCTGCATAGTATAGTATGACATCAACAAAAAGAAATAACTCAGCAGAGACAATACAGTAAAATCAATTAATTTCATTTCCAAGCATTAATCATTTAAACTAACCTCTCTCGTAATGTCAATAGCATGGCAAGGACCTGAAGTTAAGGATTCGCATATCTATCAAAACCAAAATGCAAAAACACGTGAATTAATGAATTAAAACAAAAATGAAAGACTCTGCATTTGCAGACTTCATCAACGGAGGGGGAACTCACATTGCATTCTTTACCAAAGCGTGACTGTAGATATGGAAGAAGCTGCTTCCACTCTTTACCCGTCCGACCATTAGCGCCTTCACCGAAGCCCCAGTATCAAAAATTCAAATCCAACGGCCGGCATCAAGTTTATATCTCATTAAGGAAAATGGGTATTTATTTCCCACCAAATTTGCCCGGCAGCCAAACAGAGAGAATGAAATGGAGACGGAGGGGAAGAAAAACTAACCTCGAGGATTGACGACAAACACGAGGTCGCGTTGTCGTGACGAGGAGGAGGAACCAACCCCACGGAAGCGTTCCGAGGAGAGATCCGGGGCCATTGGCGGGAGCTCTGATCTGAAAAGCGAGGGTTTAGCCATGGGCATTCCGCTTCCCAATGCCGCAACCTGACTCTGAAAATAGTCGCTTCGAAGACGAAAACTATGACACCCATGTGTCAGTGAAAGAAAATATATCCAACAATTATTAATTAGTATTACTATTACGATTAGAATTACATCACAACTAACTTTTACTAATTTTGAAGGGGATGATATCCGATAAACCGCAAATCTTCATTCATATCATGGCTCTTGCAAGAGTTCTGCTTTGCCTTTGCGTTTGGATTCTTCAAGCAATCGATCTCTAAGGAGAGAGAAGATACGAGTAACGATGCAGAGGCAACGCCTTGAATGCGGGGGTAGCAGTTACTAACGATGAGGATATAGGAAACAGGGAACACACGTCAGCGAGTCCTTCCATTGATATTGCAGTTCGGACATTAAATTAACAAATTAATTTAACAATAACAAATTTGGTGGATACAAGATTTGCATTTGCCCAAACAAGTGAAGTGGGCAACATGACTGCATTGCTCAAACCACCCGATTAGTTATATTCATTAACCCATGGTTAATATATATATATATATATATAAAGTTCATGGTTTTGAAGATTTATGTGCAATAACTTTCCAAATCCCATTGTTAAATGTTAATACCAGGACCCGAATAATTTATACTTCCTCCCTTCCAAAAAATATGACAATTTTTTTTATTAATGTTGGTCTAAAATATAAGATACTTTTTAAAAATTGATAACATTAAATTCTTTCTCACAAATGTCCTTATTAATTACATTGTAAAAAGAAATTAAATGCAATTAAGATAAATTGATTTTAATTGGATATTAATCTTGAAAATAGAGATAATTTTTACAATTTTAATGATGCAGATCACTTTTATCTATTTTTCTTAATTCTTATAAAGCAATTAAAAATGTCTTGTTTTTAAACTGAAATAATAGCACTTTCATTTTTTACTTTTCTTTCTTTGGTTTTTGGAACCGTGAGAGGCCTTACCGAGTGAGTTCTGAAATTTAACTACAGTAACTTAAACTTTTGAATAGTAGAATAAAAAAGAAACCGCAATCCACGTCAGTCCAACATACCCATTAGATGCAAATCTTCAACTTTACACGGGCAGACAGCACTATCAAAGATCAAAGATAAGCAATAATTTGCGTAATAATGCGACGCTCATTTCTTTCCTTAGCCTTAAAGTCTTTCCAAGTCTATTTTATTTTAAATTTGTGAAGATCTTAATTCTTAAGCTGAGAAACTTCCATGACAAACCAGAAGAATTTAATTCATAAAGATTTTATGTATGTTGATGAGTACTTTTTTCACTACATTAAAAGGGTTCAAATTATAGTCACTATTCACATTCCATTTTTATCACTTTTTTTTTTAATCACTTGAATTACTTCCAAATTGTCTAAACAAATTACTTATCTGTGACATAATATTTAAAGTGATTTTTGTTTCTTTTTTCCCCTCCACTTTTAATTATTAGTCTCAAATCTAAATTCCAAGAAATATACCTGCCGGAAGTCGATTCTTGTGCAGATCTGGTCAGCTCATAAGGAAAAAGGACAAAATGAATGAGATAACATGTCACATCAACACCAAATTGTGTTTCATTTTTTTATAAGCCATAGATTAGCTGGGAAGTCTAGAGATCTCAAGGCCAGAAAAGGAGGAGGAAGGAAGGAACTAAAACATAAAGGTCAGAACAGAGGCTTTTTACCATTTAACATATCCAATAAATGATCAAGAACTTGGCTCCCTCCATCACGCAGGCCTGAATGCATAAATTCGTTAGTTATCCAAAGCCTAATCCCTGCTATTTGAGAAGCTGTTTCCATGGCCAGCTTAAAATTCACATACAAGTCTTCATAATAAACAGCTGCTGCAACAGGTACCTGCCCCAACATCGATCCAAAAACATTAAGTAATTAGCAACAGAGAAATTTAACACGATCCTTTGCAAACAACAAAAAAAGTTACGCAATTTTCAGGGGACTTGGGGACTCTAACGTGCCTGCGTCTAATGCCTTTTGTAATCATGCAATCATAAGTACCACTTGTATTAGTAACATGCATCTTGGTACAAGTCTAGCTGTAATTAATGTCTCTGCATCCTTTCTCCTTCCTTACATTAATAATGAAAGGTGGTATCATATTTTCATAGTTAATATAGAACATGATCATTTATGGTAAAACTGAACATTTATGTCTGCAATTTGGAAAGTATTTCCAACTAATTGTGAGCCAAAAAAATCATTTTTCCTAACTTATACAATAACTTGGCTCATGATTAAAAATTTGGAATTGGATAATTAGATACAGTAAACATTGGCTGTTCAGCCGGAAAGTGGAACAAAAAGAATCCCAAAAATGCATATCGATAGAATGCCAAGCTAATAATACTATGCTCAAATCCGTCTGTGTGTAAACTTGTTTGTCTGCATACCAAAACTGCCAACCATTTTAACAATGAGAAAGCGTTTGAAACTGGATTATATAGATAAAATATAATTCCTGTGAGATTTTTTTATGTTACAAGGAGTACACTCCGCCAACAATAAAGATTATTTTTCTTGAGGTACTGAAGGCAAAGAGTAGACCTTTCCTAAGTTGCTACATACATAAGAATTGAGATTCAAACCCCAACAACTTACTTAAATGACAAAAAACCCTGCCACTCACGCCAATTTTAGTTGATAATTCCCGTTAGATTTTAGATAGAAAGATTTGACTAAATTTGAGATTCCAATACACTATTACATATCTAAACAAACTGCTAAAGTAAAAGCAGCAAACCTTGTTGTTATTCAGCACCTCAGTGTCATATAGTCGAGGCCAATCCTTCTTCTCTGCCAGTTTATTAGCTACATCTTTGAATGGTTTCAAAGCATGAATCTCATCAAACATCCACGGGAAAATCATCTGTAAATGAAAATAAGCATGGTCAACACGTGATTCTGGTAAAAAGAAAGTAAAGAAATAAACACATAAGCATTTGATTTATGTATTTTAATACCTTCAACTCTGAAAAATGGAAAGTATTGCCATTCAATAGGAAAACAAATGCCATGTATTACAGTTCATATTCAACCTATTCATACCCATTGAATCAAAAAAAAACTCAGATAGATGACAAGTCATGAAGGGCATGAATTATTTATATAAAAGATCCGTGAATTTACGGTAGTCCAAGTGAGGGCACAGGCCTGAAGCTATAACTTAGCGTGTCTCTCTGTGTGATCTTATGGTTCGAGTAAAACCCAATGTTGAATTCCCTTCAATTAAGGTAAAGTAGAAAAATCAAATTTTAGAAATCAAAGTTCAAAGAAACATTCTCAATAGCATTGAATTAACCATGATGCATGCATTAAAGATGCTTCCATATGGCAAAGAAAATTATATTTATTTTACATCTTACCTCTCCTGTGAAAAGTACAGGGCAGCCTTCTCTTGCAGCTTTAATAGCATCAAACTTGCTTTCATACTCTGTCCTTATTCTGTTAGCAGACCACCTACTAGGAGCACCCTACAGAGAGATAAAGATTGAGAATCAGATATCAAAGAAAACCATAGATTAAGAGTTTAAAAAAAAAAAATATGACGTCCACCTGACAATAGATGGGTTCGTGCAGGAGGGCATACAGGGGATTTGTATCAAAATCCAACCACTTCTCAAACTGCATATATGAAAAACTGGATGTTGATCTTCATAGTGAAACTTGAAATCCAGGATTCAAAATTTTATATCAAGAGATTAATTGCTTACAGAACTTAAGAAGTTGTAGCTGATCCTCTTAGGTGCTCCTGGAACTAAAATGGGATCCCACATTCTTTCAAACCTATAAAGTATACAGGTTAGCCAGTAACATAATGGAAAGATTAATTTGTCAGCTCAAGATAATTGAAAAGGTAATGTTTTCATACAAATAATGCATGCGCTCAAAACCAGCTCCAGATCCCAGGCCAGAAAGACCAAGAGTCTGGAGTCCTCTGGGGGTTAAGATGCCACCAGATGGAAGCGTCACCTATACAAAGAAAGAAGGTAATAAGCATCTGAAAGAAACTTTGCATATATTTTTCTCCGCTTCAACAACAATAAGAAAGTCCAATGAGGCAGATACTTGCCCCTCCCATTTCAGCTAAATAATTAACCAGCTCTTGAACACTTTTGATATCCTGAGGATATCTGTTGTAGTACTTGTCATTTTGACGTATAACTTGCTCAAAGCATGCCCTGTATACAGAATCTGCAGTACAACCATCTCCAATTGGAGGAATTCCTCCTGTTAGAAGTACTTGTTTCAGTCCCTGCGGTGCAAAACTCAAATATGTGACTCCACAAAAGCCACCAAAGCTCTGCAATAGTTGCAAGGATACAAGAGGAAGAAAGAGTAAGAAATTATTGGATACTAAGGTCATATTTGTTTCAATATTGCAAAAGCAAATCAAACCAAATGACCATAAAACAATTATGTAAAACATGAATGTTACAGCAGGATCAATTTAGGATGAAAATGAAAAAGAAACGACATTCCAAACCAGTTAGGCCTAATCACTCATTCACATGAACACCAATAGGAAACAGTGATGTGAATACCTGCCCTAAAACTGTCCAAGGCCCTGCATCTGGAACAAGGTGCACTCTAATAAACTCTGCATCATTTACTATATTATCAGCTCGGAAATGTCTCAAGTAGTCAGCTAATTCATCTGCAGACTTAAATTGTGACATTGATGACACTGTCAAGGGAGTAGATAAGCCTGTTCCTCTCTGTAAAAACATGCATAGGTAATTAAATGAGTGATAGACTGAAACTTCATAGGACCAAGAGGATGATACAAAAGTCTAGCAAATCATGCCTGATCCATTAAGATGACACGAAAATCTTCACAAGCTTTATGAATCCATCCACTGGATTCAGTTGGTCGCAGACACTCAAACCCAGGTCCACCTTGCAAATATAGCAGGTATGGCAATGTTTGTTCTTCTTTGCCAGCTGTGACAACAGAAATGCATTTTTCAGAACAAATTATTTGGACTTCCTACCCTGTCCTGAGGGTCTCAATCATCTTTTTGACCCAAACGATACGATGTCATTTCTCACGATTATAGAGTTCCAGTTTAAGCATTTACTCTGAGGAGGAGGAAAACGAAGACTACGCATGATCAATTTCTTCAAAGTGCAAATTCTAAAGGTAGAGTAGTGACATGAGATGAGAATAAAATTCTTCATATGTTAAGCTAGCCGCACAGTAGTATAATTTGTATGTGTATGGCCAGCAAGCACATCATAAGAATTCTACACTGTTGAGTCAGCTCCCTAACACTCGGTTAGTTGATTCTCGATCCAAAAGAATATTTGGGATCGGAATCTGGATTCACAACTTAAAAGTAATGTTCCTGGGATAACTTCGTCTTACACGATCATTCACCCCAGGCCCCAAGATTTTGTTTTCCCCATTAAGTTTACAAAAACAAAAAAAAAAACAAAAACAAAAACAAAATAAATGAACAAGGCAACCAAAAAAAGTTGACTGAAAATTTGCTATAATCTCTATAACATAAGATCCACAAGATCAACTAACTGAAGATGAATGCAACTAAAGTCGATTATTTTGTTTGCACCAATCGAAAACATTTTTTTAATCAGAAGTGAAACAATTTTGTCGTATACGATACCTGCAACGACTTCACGAGCAAAGACGGATATCTTGGGAGAGGAATGAAGATGGAGAGTGTGGTCCAGCGGTACAGCAAATCGATGATCACGAAGCCGAAGCTCCGGCACGGGGTACCAGTTGCCGGAGACATGCTCCGATTTAGAGTCTGAGAGTGTAGAATTTTCTGCGTTCATCACAGAGACGATATAGAGTGACCTCCGGTGAGAATGTAAGAAAGAATGCTTAGGGAAGGTAAGATTTTGAATTAGCGACTGAGCAGCAGGTGATGGAGCAAGAGAACGATAATGCAGTGAGCACAGCGTTGAAGCTGGCGCGTAGAATACATACATTTGTGTCGCGAGTGTGATCGCGGCAAACCGTAAGATAATAAAATTTTGGGAGAATATGACATCTGGTAAAGACCTACAGATCCGATTCTTCTTAAAATAAAAAATTTATTTATTGATTATTAATATTTACTTATTAACAATTTTTTATGAAATTAAATTGCTTCCAATGTTTTTTTATATTTTTTAAAAATAATTATTATTAATTGTTCATCCATGCATATTGCAAAACAAGATCACTCACTGCTAATATTCATGTAATTTTTTATTGCCTTTTTTCATTTAACTGTTCGTCAAAGCAAAATAAAATCACTCTTAATATTCGCGGAATTTTTTATTTAGTATACAGTTGAGCATTATCAGCTTGAAAGTAACTCTTTTAAAAATATCTTAAAAAACTATTTTATTTATAAATCATGAGTTATGTTTAAATGCGCCATCATTATACGTTTTATGATTTTATTACATGTAAATATGTTTTTACCTTTGTTTGAGTTTTTCTCAAAAATTTATTTAAATTATATCTGAGATTTTTTTTTTTACCGAAAAATTATATCTGAGATATACTTCTATCAAATTCGATAAATGAATGCTTCTCCAGAGTAAACTTTTGGGGGGTAAGCTAAAATCCACGACCAAGCATGCACTTTAATTAGACTGTGGGCAGACTCATCGTTGCTTTAACAGGGCTTTAGAACGTGACAGTACAGGGCCATTTGCCCCGAGGCATAACAAGTTTGTTTGCTTGTGAAAATCTTCAAAAACTGTGTGTTTAGTAGTTGGTCGATTGATAGATACAAGAGAAGGAATAAGCATAACTAAATAAGGCTCTTCATGTATATATATTAAAAGAGTTTAAAAAAGGCCAATTCTAACCTTAAAGAGCTAGCCTTTTTATTTTTAAGTTTAAAACTCAAATTATCATTTTTATACTATAAAATAATAGCTCAACCCTAAATATTTCAGGTTATTCAAAATAAGTATAAATGTGGGGATAACTTATTGCCTAAAATTAATCAAAAGATCAAGGTGTCTAATGTTTAGGCAAGAATTAAAGCGACATGGAAGAAAGTGATGAAGGGGTTAGAATTGGTGAATGAAGGTAGGGATGTTAGATAGAAGTGGGAAAAACATGGCACATTTTTTGTGAAGCCGGTGAAATATCCACTTTATCCAAACTCCATTTAAAACCATACACCATAGTAACTAAGAGGTTAACTCATAAATAGATTACCAAGTTGTAATTTAAGAAAATGAGATTTCAAGTTTTCACAATCCAAATTTAGTTAAAACCATTCATTAACTTTTTAATTAGACTAAAAACAAGTTACGAAAATATGTGATATTTTGGAAGGATGAAGCAAATTGAAAACAGTAGAAAAACATTTTATTTACTAAAAAATAAAGCAATGTGCCGCGGCTTGTTATTCTCTATGTCACGCGCCGTAGTGTGTTGCAACTTTTAATAGCAAAATCAGACAACTTTCAACATGCCCTAAATCTCTATCGGACATTCGAATGACATGATTTAGGTGTTTATGAAAAGTTCTTCTCATAAACTAGCTAATGATGTTTCACTTCCAAAATAAGTCACACTAAAAAGTTGGACACTCAAACACATTTTTATCACTTTTTCAACTTTCACAATCAAAAAGGGTGCCTTAAACTTAAAACAAATGCCAGAAGCCATTCCTAACATCCAGACTATATTCATTGGACTTAAGACTATATGTACAACACACCACAAGTGCACATACACTATTATAACACCATTTCACTCCTCAACCCCTTTTCATACCAAAATTAGAAGGTAGAGGTAATTTCATCGCATTACATTCAAAATCAATTATATCATGCTTAAAACAACTTTTATACACTTTCACTCGTATTTTGACCCTATCAACAATTATAACTTTCCAGGAACCACAATTCAGGGCTCAAAATACAAATAAAATATCATAAACATCCATGTAGTACAAGCGTAACACAATGCAACCTAAATTGGTACTATAAAGTCTATTACACAAAATAAACTATTCTTATAGGCGTGTATTAGGAATACACCGATTTCTAAGCCTCTAGAGCTTTCTCCCTCTCCGTACCCGAGCTAGAGCTTATAAAATGTTAAAGGATAGGGGTGAGTCTAGCCACTCAGTAACTAAGGTAAAACTTATCCTATACAGTTTCATATCAATTAAAATAAATACATAAGTATGAAATAGATTTTTATAAGACATGCTACGATACATAGTTTACATCTTTTCATTTTTGATTAACTCTTTTTTATCTCAACATAAGGTACACAATCATAAGATATTTTGACATACGACCATGACTTGATATATTAACTCAACTTGCCACAACTTAATCATGTGACACGTCATACAATTACATAGGCATTGATCAACCATCCTTATATCCTCCTTATTTTCTTTGACTGAAATTGTGAGCTATAACACTGAACAGGGCTCAATTCATGTGACTGGACTACCCCAAGCTTATTAATTGTGAGGTGTGACCTAGCTAAGAATCACATGACTTACTTCCAGACTATGGCATATTCCATTCTTGAATTTACGAGGTGTCGTATACTCTAGACTAATCTCCTCAATAAATTAGTAGAGATAGTTAGATTGTATTCCCTCAACAAATTATAAGACAATCCTTCAATAAATTGTGGGATGAGGCTATACCCCCATGCATCAGAAGGCGATTGGAATACCATATGAATTTTCTTTACTCTTCTCTCTAGGCGAACTCCCGCCCATTGAGTATGCCACATACAATGCTTACTCATTTTTTACAATCTCATTTATTTATTACCAAAATCAACATGTTTGGCTCACAACCATGCGCCACCTAAGTGAGCATCAAGTCTCATCTTTCACATATATCACATAAATCCATCATTTTCAAGCTCACATATTAATCTTTAACAAGCTCATTTTACAACTACTTTTACGTGTTTAATTCACATCAAAGAAAATACACAGACACATCATTATGTGGCCCGTTACACATCTTCAACAATGTCAAACATATATTTTCAACTCTTATCTTCCACTTTTAGATTACCCAAATGCCCTTATTTTCATGTTTGGGCTTACTTGTTGAGTTTATTAACTCTCTTTAGTCCTCAATAGTATTAATGAGCCATTAAATTCTCATTAATAGCATTACCATTCTTTCAACAACCCTCATAATTACTATTTTTGCATATTAATGTGGTCCAACAACCAAAAGTATCAAAACTCATTATTTCTAGGGTTATATACTCAAATCTACTCCCATTAACTCCATTTGAGTTAATAGATTTAGACATAGATTGAAAATTATCTCAAATTATCAAATCTTAACTAAATACTTTATAAATGTGGAAGAGAATGGAAGATTAGGGTGTAAGGTACTCACCTTTGGTGTTTAGTAGCTCTAACACATCGTAAATATCCTCAAGGTATGAACCCTAGCAGAGCTTTCCACTTGCTTTTCATTTTCTTCTTCTTTCTTTCCTATTTTCTGCTTTAGTTTGTGACTTAAGTTATGCAGAAAAGGGCTGTGCGCCACAGGATATGGCACAAAGAGGCCCTCCTGCTTCAGTCATTTATGCACCACGGCAGACATGCTGCATGTCGTGGCATGTATCATAAAGACTTTTCTTCTTGTTTTTTACCTTTTTTTTAATCCTCGAGTGGCCCATCTTTACTTCAGACCCACAACTAAGGTTGAAAATACAACCAATTACATTCATTAGACCTCCCTAACCACACCACATCAAATCACTCAATTTATATCATTAAATTTAATTAATCCTTTCATAATCCAAAGATTAAAAATTTAGGATGCTAGTCAGTGTATGAGCATATCTCTCATGCTCACATGCCAAAAGAGGCTATTTGGGATTAAATTTGGAAATTGAAAGTACCACAAAGATGTCGTATGTCCTTGTGGATTATTTCTTGTGGTAAACTTCTTACTAATGCTTGTAGACGAAGGCATGGTTTAATAGAGAATTATATATGCTCAATATGAAATGAAGGGGTGGAAGACTTTTGACATGTATTGAGAGACTACCTTATTACTCAGAATCTTTAACATTCACTTGTACATTTAGATAAATGGAATAGTTTCTTTGGGCAAGATTTGCATGCATAGATTAAATGGAATGTCTTTTAAACTAGCGCTATTGAGGGAAATGAGTGGAATATCCTATTTGCTATCATCTGTTAGTGGATTTGGCATGAAAGAAATGAATTCATTTTTTAACAAAAGCGTCTCAATAATGATTCTATTAAGTTCGAGAGCAATGATTAAGAGCATGATAGAGTTTGGAACGCATCTCTCGGGTTAGAGTATAGCTGAAAAGAATAAATGGATAACTCCAAATCGTGGCTGGGTAAAAGTGAATGTAGATGGAGCTTTTACTTAAGCCTCAAACTTAAATGCTTGTGGAGGACTAATTAGAGATTCTAATAGAAATTTCATTCAAGGATTTATGTGCAGGCTAGATAATAGGGATGTTCTCTCAGCTGAATTATAGGCTTGCATTCATGGACTAAAGCTTTCATGGGACTTAGGTTATTATAAAATTGAATTGGAATCTAACTTCACGAAGGCTATTGATTACATTTAACAAGGGTGTGACCCAGTTCACTTAGAGTATAAGGTTATTTATAAAGCTCAAATATTAGTAGAATGAACGCGATTGGGAGGTTTAACTAAGGCATGTTTTGATAATGATCAATGGAGCAGCTGATTAGTTAGCAAAATGTGGGTTAAGGGCTTTGCTTGGTTCCTACCTGGTACTGTAGATTCTTGAAGAACTTGCTAACATTTTAGATAAGATTATGTTCATGGTGAATAACAAATACCAGTCGTGCCAAAGACGCTGAGTCTCAATTGATAACAAAAGGGTTTCAAACTCTCTTACCACAGTTTACTTAGATGTAAAATGATACAAGACTTTGGTAGAATAAGTATTCAATTTTATTGAAATGTGAAAAGATTACGGACCTAAAACTAACAGACTAACTGATAAACTAAAAAGGCTAACAAATGTAAAATTATGAGTCTTTGATTGAGTGTTGACTAATTTTTTCTGTGTCTTCTTTTTCTATTTATAGTGTCAGAGTAGCGGTAGCCTCTTCCTTGAAACCTAGTACGTTTTGCTAAAGAATCAGGGATCTCACGAAACTCATAACACGGTCTTTACTCCATGCTCTCTATTTTGGTAATCAACTCGTTTTATTGAGATACTTGGGTATGAGGTCCGCAGATTTTGACACTACTTAAGATTGTGTCTTTCACACCAACGGTCTAATATTTACAGTTGACAAAATTTTAGCACGTTTACTTATTGTGGCCTTTATAAAGTCTCGGGGTCGACCCTTTTCGTTTATCTTAGGCTTGACGCTTCAATTACTCAGCCAAACTAGCCCTATAACCTATTTGAGTGATGTTTCATATTTAGCCTAAATAGATTGTAATAATACTTATAGGCTAGTTGGTTTTTTAGGTTCAATTTGTGATATAAAATAAAATAAAATAAAATAATAGCTCAACCTTATTATATTTCTCATGAGTTATGACCGTCATTGACAACTCCTAGCAGACATTCACTACATTTCAAAAACCCTTTCACCAAAAATAACGACGACAATAATAATGAGTCAATAACACACGACTCAATTTGAAAAATGAAAGTTTTCTCCTTACGTGTGGCAACCTTCCTGCACCATTAAGGGTACATTTTGTAAGCTCACTTTTCACATCCCAAATGTGGTTTTTAACTTTTGATATGTAGGATGTTGTTTGGGATATATTTTTATGATGAAATGTTCTTTTCAAAAGGGCTTTTAAATGGATATGAAATTAAAAAAATAGGAAGCAACTTTTGGGAGCTTGTGAAACGCAAATAAGACAATGTGAGTATTAATGATTGGTATCTAATATTGTAAAAGACCATGATACCCTCATTTTCTCCTTCTTCACGTGCAATCAACACTAGCCTCTCTCATTCTGCATATTCCCTCGCTCGCTCATCCCTTGCTCACTGATCGACAATTCATCGCTCCGCCATCACTCCTCCTTCTCTCCTTTGTCTCTCCTCTGCCATCTAGTCACAGATTTGGAGCTCCTCATCTCTTCACTTCCCTGAGCTTCTCGCCTCTTCCTTTGTTGTTGGTTTCACTATTACTCTACCTCATTTCTTCATTTCTATCATCAATTATTCATGGATCGAGCTCATTTTAGGACTTAGATGACGTTGCAAAGCTGAGAGAACTCAATACACTTGGATTTGCAATCTGTAGAGTGTAAAACTGAACCTTCAAACCAACTTTATGAACTCAAGCCGGCTTCTTTAATCTGCAAGGTATGATAGTCTACAAACATTTTTTATTAGATTTGGAAATGATGTTCCTCTGTTTTACATCAGTAGACAAAAATAAAGCATAATGTGGTGGATTTAGTGTGTATTTTTTATCTGCTTTGTTTAGTGGTGACCATGTTCTTTGTAGACCCAATGTTTTTTTTGCCTTCTTTTGATTGCCATCTGTACAAAATAAGAACGTAGGAGTTTAGTTCTTTTTAGACCCAGTTAGCAGCAAGCATGTTCTTTGAGATATGTAATCTCACAAATAATATAGGGAGTGATACAATATTGCCTGCGACATGGTGTTTTACTTACCTTAAACATAGCTTACCTTTAAGAAGAAAAGCATTGATCACACTAGCCTCCGAAGAAAAAAGTTACTGTAATAAAATTTGCATTCCTGAACCTTGCAGCTTACCATTTTTAGCAGAACCTGACTGCCTATGCTTATTCCAACCAAAGGGCAAGGGAGTGTCAATCCTTAAATTAGCTAGGAAAGCCCATATACCAAATGGCAAGATTATATATCTCAAAGAACCTCCAATTAAATATCATGCCATATATATATATATATATATATAAGACAGACAAAATTTAGAAATGAGCTCATTCCTTAAATGGTAAGTGGGCTCTCTGTAAATTAATATAATGCCAATTTTATTTCATAGTATATATTATGTATAAATATTTTAACTCTTTCAACTTGATTATTGAGAATATGATATTTAGATAGTAAAAATGAGTAAAGAGAAGGCACTATGGACTATTGAAGAAACTGAATTGTTCATTAAATTAGCTCTCTAGCAAGTTAGAAAAAAAAGTGTAAAGGCTCTACTTTATCAAAGGAAGGTTGGGAAGTGCTAATGCAACAATTCAATGCATTAAACTTTAGAAGCTATGATAAGAAACAGCTGAAGAACAAATGGGATAATTTGAGGAAAGACTAAAATATATGGGATAAACTGTTGAACAAAGAAATTGGTCTGGAATGAGATAGTGAAAAGAATACTATATTAGCACCAAAGGAGTGGTGGAATCAAAAGATTAAGATGTATAATTATTTATAGCATGCTATATATTTGATGCTTTATTTTGTAAATATACTAGACTCAATTCTTGCAAATGTGTAGGAGAATCCTGAGTATAGGAAATTCAGACATAGAGCACTTCTATATGTATAAGAATTGACACAATTGTTTTAGCCAGTTGCAGTACGGGACACTTACATGTAGATACTTGCGGCTGATGATCCGCAAGATGTGTATAGGCCTCAATTGGATTTGACTGAAGGATAAGGAGACAGTGATGATGTGAGAAACATTAGTGGAAGAGCTCTCCTTAAAATTGGGCAGGTTAATTTGAATAATGCATACAGTGGTGGTGCTAATTCAGAAAGTAAGCAAAAGAGAGGTGAAAGTGGTTAAAACAAGAAGGGAAAACATCTTGCAATTGTGATGGTTGATTCAGTAAGTCAATTAGTGGCCACACAAGAGGATAGGCGTCACGCCCCGAAAAATGGGAGTGATCGGCATGAGATGTGAACTATATCACACATCCCTTAAGCCTCAAATCAAAAAAATATTCCATTTTTCAAACATAGTTGGATTTATATTGTAATTCTGACATCCTTAATAATATTCATTATAATAAAAGCTTCAACATTTTTTTATATAAAATAAAATAGGATTCTTTCTATAGTTAACGTGGATCCTCTAAAACATAATTTCAAAATAAATCACATAATCAAATATTTACATTAAAGAAAAGGCATTTCAAAAAATAAAATAAGATAAAAATAAAAACAGAAACAGAAACAAACAAACATTCACCTAACATAGTTGTAGGCCCCTCAATGACAGACAGGAGGTCCAACATCAGTTAATGAATCTGAGATCAAAATATTTTCCAGTGAATAGCATCCCCAAAAATAAACTTTAAAAGAGTAACATAATAAACTCAAATAATTAAATAAAATAATTAAAGAGATGATAAATCAATATAATAAAATCAATAAATCTCTAAGTTTAATCATAATTATAAAATGAGAGTGAATTGAAAATTTCTTTATTCTATCTTGAAGAAATCAAATTATCTACATGTAAATCAAAATAATAAATTCACTAATTAAAATCATTGAAATTTCAAATACCAAATGTTAAGTAAAAATTTAAAATTTTGAGGACTTAATAGAACAAGTAACAAATGTGGACACACAGTCCACGAGGGTAAATAACCAAACGCGGCTTATGTCACGAAAACAAACGTGGACACATAGTCCATGAGGATAATCAACCAAACACAGCTTGAGCTACGAAACAAATATGGACACACAGTCCACGAGGGTGATGCTAACCAAACGCGGCCAAAGCCACGAAACAAACGCGAGTACAACGCCCGTGAAATAACAAACGTGAGAACAGAGCTCACGAAAATCAAAGTAGCTAGTCATTAACCAAGGCGTGCCAAGGGCTAACGGAGCTGCCGCTAGCAACTAGTGTTCTGTATAAAGTCCCCTTCAAATTCATTTTCAAACATGTGAGAAAATAATCATTTTTCAAAATATAAAATCCTCTTTTCAGTACCAAACTTGCATGAATTAATTCAAAATAATCAATCTTTTCAGTGTAAAAATTCATAACTAACATCTCATAAACTTTTTCACCAATTTTCATAATTATCTTTATTGAATAAAGGAACATTAAAATTTGTAAAAATCATTTTCGTCAATCTTTTAAGTATATTTCTTAAGAAAAGTACTAACACAAATCATAATTTAATTAACAAGGTAACTAATATTCATCATAGTTGTTAATAAGAATAATATGCATAAAAAAATGTAATAATTTCAATGAAAGACTTTTATTGACAAGTTGACTGAGATACTATTCACTTACCTGAAAAGTTTCCAAATATAATTTACTTCCAACTTAATCCTCTTGCAGCGATACTTGGTCTTTCATCTCCTAGTGTCCAAATAATACTATAGTCATTTTTCCTATGAGTTTAATAAACTTCCTTCTAACACAACATAGTTGATTCCAACAATTCACATTTTTCCAAACATCATCATTTATATCACAAAGCTTTTTCATATATCTTTGACCATTGCTAAATTATTAAATGGAGAGAAAATCCTCTCATAGACCTTTTAACAAACACCTAATAAGCATCAATTTCTAGTTCATTCAATGGATCTTCCTAACCTCAATCACTGGCCCAATAATTTGTAAGCATCAATAATCAATCCAACTTCAACTAAAATTCAAAACCACAACATCATTTCAATTTTTTTTAATTAAAAAAAATTCAGCTTAAACCAATTTCCCCTTCATACTCAAACACAGACGGTAGCACAAGGCAAGAAAAAAATCTACAGCCTCAATCATTATAGTGCACACACGCCCCATGGATTCAAATCTCCTAAACGCTACAGCATTCTAGGAGTAAAAGGAAACACCGAAGCCCCATTGTCAGACTCGAAAATTCCATAAAGTGGAAGAGAGAAAAATTTGAATCCTCACCACAGACCAATCACGATGGAGCAGGAAGAAAAATTCAAAGCTCCTTTTAATCAGTTCAACGACAGTGAAGAAATAGAAGGGGAAGGAGTCGGTACACCACAGAAAACATACCAGAACAAGGACGACGCAGAACAGGGAGAGACCTTTGGTGAGCTGCACGAAGAGGAAAAACAGAGGAAAGAAGTCGAAGCTCCCTCCACGGCAACCGCACAGCACAACGCAACATCTAAAGAAGAAGGAGGAGGCCTGCGATGAAGGAGGAGGAGGAAGAAGAAGACCCGACAACAACGCAGGGGAGGAGAAAAATCCAAGAACTTGACAGAACTCCCTGCTGCAGACGAACAGCCACTTGCAACGACGCTGACGACAGTTGAAGTCGGAGAAGGAAGGCGGGAGAACAGAGGTGTGATCGGAGCTCTCTCTCTCTCTCTCTCTCTCTGCGCCACTCGGCTCCAGAAAAATCGACAATGGGTGTGAAGAAGACTGAAGTGTGCATGCGTTTTGTGCGTGCATTTATATATATATATATATATATATTTCAGAGCTGTTTTTTTTTATAATAATTTTGCCATACTAACAAAATAAAATATTCACTTTCTAAATCAATAAATAAAGACTCATTAAGCTACTAGTTTAATTTATTATAACAATCCCAAAATTTATATAGACACAATCAAAAATATATATTATTTTTATTAATTAATTAATTTTATTATTATTAATTGATTGATTGATTTTATATTTTTATTATTCATCATCATCATCATTATTTTTTAAGGCTATTACAATAGGGTTTCAACACTAAAGTCAATTCTTAATTCCATAGAAGGTGGAACAAAACTAGTTGATCAAAATATAGTGGATGTTGCAAAGGAACTTTATGAAATCAAGGAGATTGCTTGTGATGAGGTGCTTCTTGGACAGTGTGTTGTGGCCTTGCTAGATAAGACTGCAAGGGACATGTATATTGAGCTTAGGGACAATCGAAGAGCATTAGTGGCCTATTTGAAGTGCTTAGACAAAAAAGTAAATTAGATCAATCCTAACTTGCCTTCTTAATATTTTAAATCTAGTTAGTGCCGTTTAAGTTGTTAACTTTGTTTTGAAACTGACTATATTATTTGACTCTTGTTTTATGTGTTTCTTATGTTAAGTCATGGACAATGGTGTAATGGTTGTTTAATTATGCTATACAGTTTTTATAAATGACAATACGCAATCTCACTTATTACAATTACTTATACTTGCGGAAGATGATGAGGTTGAGGCTATTACTGCAATAGTATCTAATTACTCAACAACTTTGTTGAAAGAGCCTTGTAGAATTAATTTACAATCAAGTCATGCATGGGTGCAAGAAATTTTGCAAGGGCATTCTCCGAGTTGTTATGACGTGTTTCATATGGAAAAAGATGTTTTTTTTCAACTTTGTGATGAATTGACACTATGATTTGTGTCCAACCAAAAGAACAAGGATTCATGAAATGGTCGGTATGTTCCTAAATATTGTTTCACACGGGGCAGGAAATATGATGGCACAAGAATGATTTCAACATTCAACAGAGACTGTTCACAGACATTTTAGAAATGTATTGCATATTTGTGAGAAGCTAGCAAAGGAATATATCCAACCAAAAGATCACATTGTTCAAGATATTCATTCAAAAATTTTAGGTGATCTGTGATATTGGCCATTCTTTAAAAATGCCATAGGAGCAATTGATGGAACACATATCCCATGCGTGGTCAGTGTTAAAGAGCAAGGAAAATATATTGGAAGAAAAGGCATTCCAATACAAAATATAATGGCTGCATGTGATTGAGAAATGTGTTTCACTCGTGTTATGGTTGGATGGGAAGGGACTGCCTATGATACTCGTTTGTTTGACCATGCACTCACAAGGCCAGACATGAAATTTTCATATCCACCCTAATGTATATTTCATATTTATCTAATTTAAAATAATTTTTTCAATATTTTTTGGGACCTTACAATTTTTATTTTTTTATTGATAGGTAAATATTATTTGTTAGATGCCGGCTATCCAACGTCACGTGTATATTTAGATCCTTGTAGATTTCATAGGTACTACCTCCTAAATTACAGACGTTCATCCGAATTTGCTAATAATAATGAGATTTTTAATTATTATCATTCAAGCTTAAGGACCACGATTGAAAGGACTTTCGGAGTTTGGAAAAACAGATTCGCAATCTTATGACACATGCCTAACTATCCATTTGTGACACAAGTTCATATCGTTGGGACAGCAATGACTATACATAATTTTATTAAAAAAAGATCTGCAATTGATTTTAACTTTAGGCATTTTAAGGATGAAAATATGGTTAACACTAATGATGATAATGATGAGCATGTATTTTCATCAACAATTTCAAGTATAGTTTTTGATAGGGAGATAAATGGATTTTAAAATTCTATTAGAGATCAGATTATATATTATAGATTGAACCATTAATCATATAACTATTTAATATTAGTAAATATTTAACTATTTATTACATAATTTTTTTCAAAATTAAATTTTATATTTTTTCTTATTATTTAACATTTTAAATTTTTTGTTATTTTAAATTTGTTTCACATTTTTAAACATTACTAATATATTATATTTGCATGATAAAAATTATAAATTAATATTTTTTATTATTATATATTAAAAAATATATTTTAAAAGAATAAATTTTTATTAATCTAAATAAATTTTAGTTTGTCAAATTAATTTTTAAAAAAATATATTTAAATATAAATTTTATTATAATAATTGACTTTCATTAAATTAATTTTTATCAAATAAATTTTTATTAAATTGATTTTGATTTTTAATTTTTGATGAATTGAAACCAAACACACATTGAATATTATATTATATTAATAAAAGTATTAAATTCTTCTGCCGAAGCAGCCGGGCACCGTCGCACCACTTCCTTCGTCTCTCCCCGTTTCCTCCAAAATGGCCTTCTTCACCTCTCTTCTTAGAAGAGCTTCTTCTTCTTCTTGCTCATCTCTTCTTCGGAACCGGGGCTTCAGCAATCTCCCTGAAGACACGGTGTATGCGGGACCCACTTCCCAGGCCTCGATCAAGACAGTGACGTTGGCCTATCTTAGGCAGAAGCATAGAATGGGCGAACCCATTACCATGGTCACTGCTTATGATTACCCATCGGCGGTGCACTTAGACATGGCCGGTATCGATGTCTGTCTCGTCGGAGATTCGGCTTCCATGGTAGTTCATGGACACGACACCACTCTGCCCATCACCCTCGACGAAATGCTTGCTCATTGTCGTGCCGTCGCTCGTGGTGCTAAGCGGCCGCTTCTGGTAGGCGACTTGCCTTTCGGAGCTTACGAATCGAGTACTGGTCAGGTGCGTTTGTTTTGGTTTAGTTTCGCTAACAGTGGTGGAGTTTGTCTTAGGAGCTTGAAATCCCATTTGTTTTGTTGATGAGGAAGCTTTGTTTCTTCCTTCAGAAGTTCACGCTTTTTCTCGAACAAAATATATGCAAATGTGCTTTACATAGCCATTTTTGTCGAGACAAAATCCGGGTAGCAGGGAAGGAGGTTTGGTATATTTCTTTGGAAGTTGAGAAGTCAATTTACCTTTTCGCAGAAACAAAAATTTTTGAACATGCTTTTTATAGCCAGCTGTGGGAACGGAGTTAATTTAGGTGAAATTGACATTGACATCGAAGATAGAAGATTTTATTTTATTTCTTGTACAATTACAACTCAGACCAATATAGATTCCTTTTATGGGTGGTTAAAAGAAACAGAGAGATTAGGAATAAAGGATATAAGCGTCTCACTTCAGTTTCACTATCTGAGCTTAATTAATGTACACAATGTTTTCATATGCTCCTGCTCATTTTGATTATAAACAGGCAGTTGATACAGCAGTTCGCATATTAAAGGAAGGAGGAATGGATGCAGTAAAATTGGAAGGAGGGTCGCCTTCAAGAATTACAGCAGCAAAAGCTATTGTTGAAGCTGGAATTGCTGTCATAGGACATGTGGGACTAACTCCACAGGCCATTAGTGTTTTAGGGGGTTTTAAGCCTCAGGGAAAGAATGTGTCTGGTGCTGTCAAGGTCTATTTCTCCCACATCCATCTATTTGAGACTCTGCACAATTTCTCTAAGGTCCTGAAAGAAACTTCTGTGTAGGTTGTAGAGACTGCTTTGGCTTTTCAGGAAGCTGGATGCTTCTCTGTTGTTCTAGAGTGTGTGCCTGCACCTGTGGCTGCTGCGGCAACCGCAGCCCTTCAAATACCCACAATAGGAATCGGGGCTGGTCCATTTTGCAGTGGACAGGTTAGCTGGCTTAATGGTCCTTGTACCTAATGTTCTATGCTTGATGTTTACCTTTTCTAACAGTTGAATGGCCTAGATTCATACCACTGTTTCTCTTCAGTTGAAAATCACTTGACCATTACTTTATTTTAAGGTACTTATTCTTCATCAAGTGGCTTTCCCAGGCTCTCTCTGCGATAACAATTTGATGCTCCCGCATAAAATGTTTGCTTTTTGTTTTTTTCTTTTGGGTAAAATAAAATGTTCACTTCTGATCTGTATATATTCAGATAGAAATGTTAAGGTTGGTCTTAAGAGCTAGCGCCTAGCAGTAGCTATTATTAAATATCTAATTATTTAATTATTTCATCAATGAATGTGAAACAATGAAGGAAAGCTGTATAAATTAACAACTTTATGCATGCTATAGTGCTATTTTAGCCACTGAAATTACCGTCTGTTCAATCCTTTGCACCTTGTGATTTCAGCAGTTGCATTTCCTGTATCCATGATATTTATACTTATAGGAGACTTGATCTAGCTATCCCTTTCTCATGTCTCACTTGGCGGAGATCTTTACACGTTTCCAACTTCGGAATAATAAAGACATATTGAAGGTTCAATTTCGATCACATCAGTGCAGTATGAATTCTTATACTTCTTACTAAATTATGCCTGAGCTTTTTATCATGATCTCCCTCTTCTATGGAAGACAAATTCCTAGGTAGAACGGTATAGAAAGATTAGTAAGGCAAACCAAACATCCGTACGTAAGTTTAGCATGTTAGGCACACTTTTTAGCTAGACTGACTTCTAACGTACTTGCTTGGCCAATCTGTTCCCGATGGACCAGAACTATACATGAATCTTCGTTTCCAGAACTTGATTATTTTGTTAGACAGACTTTCTAATTTCATTCTAATGTCCAAGCAGGTGCTAGTTTATCATGACTTGCTTGGTATGCTGCAACATCCCCATCATGCAAAGGTATTTTTGGCAACTTTTAGCCCAAGATTTCTTCTTTCCTTTTTCACATTACTTGGTAGAGATCTGTATGTGCACAACTACTGTTTTTTTCAGGAAAAATTATATTAAAATGCGAAGTGGCATAAAACCCATTTATAGATCCAACTAGTGTTTAAACACAATGAACAAAATTGAAGAAGAAAATATATCATGAACTCTGAATCTTCTGCTTCAGGTCACTCCAAAATTTTGTAAGCAGTACGCTCGTGTTGGAGAGGTTATCAATAAAGCCCTCCTGGAGTACAAGGAAGAAGTGACAAGCGGCTCATTTCCTAGTCCTTCCCACAGCCCATACAAGATCAATGACACAGATGTTAATGATCTTCTAAATGAATTGCAAAGGTTAGGTTTGGACAAGGCAGCATCGGCAGCATGTGAAGCAGCTCAGAAGGTAAAAGAATCATCCAAATCAGTGACAGAAAATCCATCAAAGGGAATGGTTTAGAAAGAGTTGAACAGGTTATTCTTCCTTTTCCCTCTAATCTCCTCTCCTTTAAAACACTACAGCCAATACCATCTCTTAAGGCAGGTAGACCCTGTTATGGTTATTAAAAAATAGTGACATTATCAATGTAGTACTCTAGTCATTTTTCGTATCATTATAGTACCTGAAAATATGATTCTTGTTTCGACTTTATATGATATTTGATAGTTAAAAAGATTGCTTGGCATAATCAATTTAGTAGCTCTGGAATGCATGCATATTTTTAGGCATAGAAGTGTTGCACATAAAGTTGTTTATATTATCAAATTGATAATCAATCGTGTCAGGTTTTTAGGACCAAGTCGGGGTTTAAAGAACAGCTTGAGACATGAAAGCTTGCACAATTTCTGGCACTGTTTGGAAGGTGATAATAAATTATTTGAATTGGTTAATCAGTTAATCCTTTAAGCCATGAACCAATATTTCCATAAGCTAAATGATCAGTCCTATTATAAAATCGCTTGTAATTCCCAATAAAATATTTGTCTAGGCAAGGGATAATCTGACTCAAACAAATTGAGTGGAGGCTGAAGGAAGAGAAGAACAAAAATGGATAAAAAAAAAAAGTGCCAAAAATGTATAAATCCCGAGTGTTGATTGAGGTTTCTTGCCTTCCTTTTCTGGTACTATAAATCCCTCCTTGAAACATACTATATATTGGAAGCAGCAAGGTACGGGTTGACTTTCGTTTTTTTTTTTTAGCGTCTTTTTTTTGGCTACACCCCCCGCCGTGGGGGGGGGGGGGGCGCCAACTGTCATGTATTGTCCCTTTACGAGTGTACTCAGGCGTGAAATGTGATCAAAGTTTGTGTTATTGACTTTAGCGATGGTTTTAAACGCTACGTTTTTTCCAGGTCCCAAAAAAAAAAAAAGCGCTACGTGTGAAAATGTGCTCTTACTTTATACATAAAAGTGCTGCGGTGTATTTAGAGAGAGAGAGAGAGAGAGAGAGCTTTTACAGAGCATGCATGTACCGGCGTTTCTCAGTGTGCTAAAAATATGAGTTATTGCAGTGTATTTAAAAAAAGGTTGCAAAATATTGCTTTGATTGTAGAGCATTAGATTGTCATTTTTATTGATTATTTTTAGTTTAATCTGATTCCTAAATTTTTTTTGTACGAAATGGTTGTAACATGCTAGCTTAGATGATCAAATAAAAACAAATAAATCTGAGCTTCGTGCCAAAAGCGAAAGTCTTGAATATAATTATTAATGACATTCATCATCCTCAAAGATATTAAGTTATACAAAGTGCATAACTATGTATGAATATATAATTGGTGGAAGATAACTTTCGGGGAATTTACCCAATCCACTAGCAATGAGATCACATAAGTTATTGATTATTGATTATCTGGCGCCAAGCAAACCAGACAAAATGAATTGGAGTGCCTAACATGTTATCTTCGCGCTGACGTGGCCCCCTCTACTCAGGACATGCCGATTGGGCTTACGTGAACTGCTTTGTCACTTCGGCCTGTTTCGTATTTCTGAAGAAACCCAATTTTATTTTTTATTATGTCACGAATTGAAAATATTTATGCATATATATAATCAATTGTGCTGCTGGCTACTGCTACTCCCTCCATCCACTATTATCAAGTATATTTTTAAGATATATACTTTTATCTACTTAAATTAAGACAAGTAAATTTTAATGTATTAATATTAATAACAAGAATTTGTTATAAAATAAATAATACATAAAAAATTAACATGTCTTGATTTGATTGGAGACAAGTATTTTTAATATATAAGATTAGGTATATAAGTTTTTTTTCTTTTTAATTTGTAAGGCATTTTTACAGAATGTTAAAAGCAATTAACATGATCATTTTAAAATGTCTCTGACAAATGAAAAAATTTCTTGACCCCTCAATAATTTGGTTTATTCTCCATTCAAGAGTCAACTGTATTTAATGAAAGATGCACTGAAAGAGATTCAAAAACTTTGGGAAAGTTAACTACTTACATTAGTCTATTTCATCCGATATTTGGTCCTATTTATAGGATAAAGTTTTAAAATTCTATCTAGTCCTGAGTCAATAAAGATGAAGTGGTTGATGTTCTTTTGACATTGCCCTATTTGATTGCAACAAGTTGTCGTCAAGCTTTTAGTTCCTAAACACATACTTATTGTGACCATTGATTTCAATGAAGAGCAAAATTTAAAAGTCAAGTAGTTTTTACAAGTTTAAAGATATTATACATCATTTCTTAAAAACTATCCCATTTGATCCTATTATATAGCACTTTTTAAAATGATTTTTTGGTTCTCAATAAAGGCACCTTGTAGGATATTTACATTTCTCCAATCTTACCTATTCAAGTTTATTAACTATGAAAGAGAATATAATACAAATATGAAAAAATTTCATTTAAGTGGAGATAAAATTTAAAATTCATTCTATTTTCAGACAAATTTAATGACCTAGCCACATTTTTTTATTCTGATAAAGTAATTAGATGTGCGTTATAATGGAAACCATAGGGAAAATAAAATCACTCCTCTAATCCTAATTATAAATTATTTTTAACATGTTTCACTAGTATAAAAAATTTTAAAACTCATTAACTCTATTTTAAAATTTAAAAAGTTTTCAATTTTGCCCCTATTAAACATGAACAAATTAATAGCATATTTTTTCTTTTCAACATTCAATGGAGGGTAAAATAGAGAATTCATAATGAAAATTTAATAATATGATTTATAAATAAAACTAAAAATATTCTTGTCTCTTTGTCCTATAAATAGGGTCAAAAGAAATAATTAACATCATGGTGTGATTGGCAATAAGAAGAGGATTTGAGTTCGTTAAAAATATTTTATAATAATAAATGAAGTGTGGATATTATTTACAGACCAAAAACGAAGTATCATAGCTGAAATGGAAAACTTGTTCCGATATTGCATATGCATGAAAGATGGGAATGGAATCAGCTATTAATGCAAATAAGAGTTGGTTTCAAAATTGAAAGGTTGATTCTTGGGAAAGGGATTCACGCACCGATCCACCAGTAAAATGGATATGCTTGGGAATTAGAACCTAATTCCCTCCTCATTTTTTTCTCTTAATTTCACGTCTCACCAGTTGCCTATTGGTGCCTACGCGCGCGCGCGCGCGCAGTACTCATGGAATAAGTATCTATCGATTATGCAACTCTACGGGCGACTTTTTTTTTATTTAAATACATATAATAGTAATTTAATTCATAATGAATAAATAATTAAATTATATTTCATCTCAAATTTTAAAATACTTTTAAATAAAATTTTATATGTCAATAAATTTCATTAAATACATCTAACAACTTTATCTTTCATAATAAAAATATAAAAAAATATCTATCATTTATTAATATATTAAAAAGAAAAGAGATAAAAATTAATTATAAAGAGAGAAAATATAATATTTAAATGATATATTTAATGAAATATTAATCTACGTAAAGTGTCTTATATTTTAGAATAAAAAAACTCCTTTAAAAATATTTTAATTTAAAACAAATGGAGTAACTAGTACTATATATATATAGTAGAATATAGGCTTAATGTGTTTATATGTTTTCCTTTGTTTTTTTTTTTTTGGTTATAATATTCAGGATAATTTCCAAATTTATAAGCGATTAAAATATATTCTCTTAATAGTTATTATTTTTAGAAGAAATTTTCTCATTAATTTTATAATGTGAAATTTTATCATGATTTATAAATAAATATCTTTATGATTTATTTATATTAGTTTTATAAATGGAATTAACACAATGAATTTAATGTTTTAAAAAATATTACTTCTTTCATTAAAAAAATATAAGTCATTTTTAATCAAATATTACCTTCAATAAAGTAGTTACTTATTTTAAATTAATTTTATTTTTTTATATTTACACTATATAATAGTGTGTCTCACTCTAAAAAAATATAAAGTGATATATTTAATAGTGATTTTTTTTTAAAAAATAATGATTACATTTTAAAGGACTAAATTTTTTTTATATTTTTAAATATTTAACTTTTTAAAAAATATTTTATATATTTTTTTTAAGAGAGGGTGTACAATAAATTAAATCAACTCTCCCGCATTGCTGCGATGATTTCAAGTCAAATTAATATTTAAAGAAATAATATTCTTGTCAAACCAAGACATGCTTTTAAAATTAGGTTTTTTTTTTTCTTTTGCGACTAAATATATTTAATTTAATAACTACTAATTCTTTTTTACGGAGTTTACCCGGAAACAAAGAATCTCACTTCCCAATCCCATGGGCTATGGCAAAGTCAGAAAATAGTATTTAGAATTGCCAAGAAAAAGTCAACCCTAAGTAAATTAAATTAAATTAAAGCAAAAGCCAATTTACCAAAGGCAATAACCAATTTCCAAACACATCAATCAATCAGATCAATCGAAAAAACAAAGCGGCATCATCCTAAAAAACTGTTCAGAAACAATCTTGGATTATATATAATATATCTAAGACATCAATCCCTAACAATCTCTACTGAGATTAACAGAGGCATAAAGTCCCTGATCTACCTTCTCTTCAGTTCTTACTGTACTAGAAATTTTGGAAGACGAACAACTTTTATCTTCCATGGTTAGCGATGATTCCTCCAAATTGTTCAACCTCTACAGAAAATTAAAAACTAAAACCATTAAAAAAATGTCAATTTTTTTTGGTTGTTCATAGTCATACATACATGCAATGAAAAAGATTTGATCTGTACATAATGCATTATACATGTACAAGTTAAATCTGAATCATTGTATATATGCCGAGAGCCTCCCAATGAGTCAACAATTGCCACCAGCGGTGGTGGCAGCGGCATTAGTGGTCGGCCATGCCGGGAGAGCGAAACCAGTAGAGAAGGGATCGGCGAAGCAGTCTACGGTAACAGGGGCCACCGGCGCCGGAGGTGACGGCCCGGTAAGTTCATCTAACCCTTCGAAGAAATCATCTGTTAACACAGAATCTGATAAGCCAAGTTCTTCATCTTCCTCTTCCTCCATCAAATCTTCCATTTCCACCTTGCTTTCGAAGTCTGCGCTTCGAGGTACTGTCTCCCCTTCTTCCACCCCAGACGTCACCGGAGAGCCGGTTTTCGTCGGGGCTTTGTCTGTTTCATCTCCGGCGGCGGCGGCGGCGGCTGAGGGCTTCTGGCGGGTGGAGCCGGCGAGAGAGTTCCGATGAGTAGGAGCAGGGTGGTTATGCTCCGCCGTATAGGTGACTATGAACAGCGACGGGTCCGATCTGTTCCTTTCCACTTGTTTCCGAGCTAAACATCCTTTCGAGCTGCTACATCTGTAATATCCCCTGTTCATCGCACAACAACACGAAGCTTTATTAAGCCATAAATCATACCATTTGCGGCTTCTTTTTCGCACTAAGAATCTCAATTCGGATCCCAAATTGCACCAAATTTAACACACAAAACATTCCCAACAATTTATATGTAGAAAAAATGGTAAAAAATCGAAAAGTTACCTTGGATATGGAGAGCCTTTGATGGGTTTCTGGCCATATTTCCGCCATGCCCAGATATCAGAGGAGAGAGACTCAGCTGGAACCTGACAAACTTTCTTAAGCTGATTCTTCCTGTAACGGAACATAACACAAAGAAATCATGAGTCACAGTTCACAGGCATTACTTTTCTCAAGAAACAGCCAAAGGTAAAAAAAGAAAAAAAGAAAAAAAAAGAAAGTGAAGATGAAATTCTCAATTCACCTTCTTTTAGATCTCGGGGTGGTGGAGACAGGACCGGCATGAGACAACTTATTCTTGGGCTGCAGATTCTGTTGCTTGTGCTGTGTCTGAACTGGTTTGGTGGGAACAGAGGGAGAATTGTAGGAGAAGGATGAGGAAGAAGGAGACAGAGGGGAAACTAGTGAAGACGATGACGAAGGAGGCTTGGATGATTTGGAGAAGAAAGGCTTACAAAGCTCGTGCAATTCTTCAACGGAGCAAGAGGGTCCGGCTTCAAGAGGGTCCAAATCCGAGAGGGACAAAACTTGGGTAACTTTCTCAGCCCCAGCAAACATAGGAAGCCGAAAAACAGAGGAAGAGACGGAGGCGGAGGCGGAGGCGGTTGCAGCGGTGGAGGAGGAGGAGGAGGAGGAGACGGTGGCGCAGCCTCTGACGACAGCGTGCAGATCCCAATCGTCCTCCATAACTGTAATGAGAGACAGGCTCTGAAAATGTCAGTAGCACCTTGCTGCTTTGAGAGAGAGGGACAAAAGAAGGCGCTGACTTTTTGCGAGAGAGAGATGATAAGGTGCAATGAGTGAGAATTGGGACGCTTATATAGAGAGAGAAAGTTGGTGTGTTGTTTTTCAATTCAGGTTCACATTGTGTCTAATTTGTGAATGAGGGATGAAAAGAAAAGCAAAAAGTCAAGGGTAAATCATATTACATAAATTCTTATTTTTAATAAATTATACTATCTTTATTTTAAATATTATTTTTTAATAAAATAATTATTCACTTTTTAATTAATCTTATCTTTTTATATTTATTTTTATTAAATATCCTATAATAAATATAAAGTCATTATCAATAGAGACACTTTAAAAAAAATTGATTACAGCTCAAAAGATTAAAAATATCTTATATTTTTAAACACTCAACTCTTTAAAAAATATCTTATATTTTTAAACAGAGAGAATATAAATCTTCCCATTAAAAAATATAAGAGACTAATTACAGCAATAAAAGTATAGAGAGGCTATCCCTTTGTTAAAAAAGCATAAGACATTTGTTAGATTAAATATTAAAAGTATAAGATGTTTTTAATTTTTTTTAAGGTATAATTATGAATATTTTTTTAAAAATACCTCTAATAAATAAATCACTCAACTTTTAATTGAGAATTAAATACAATATATTAAAAATGATATTAATTTAAAAATAATTAATTAATTTATTAGGATGTGATTTGATTAAAAATATTTTATATTTTTTTGATGAATGAAGCATATGCATATGATAAGCTTCATACTTAAACCTAGATTGATGTGTAAAGAAATTATAATTTAAAAATATTTATAATCTAATAAAAATTAAATAAAAATACACGATTAATTTTTTGTTTCAAATGAAACGAATGAATACTTAAGGAATATGTTTGATAAATTGTAAACCATGCAATTGAGATGAATCTTTTAAAAGCTAAGACTGTAAATTTTTTAATAAGAAAAATGAAAAAGGAAGGCACTGTTATTCTTTAGGAAGTAGTTGGCAAATTGGCATCTCTATGCTCATCTCTCTCTCTCTCTCTCTCTAAGATGTGAAAGCAGATTTGGGAAATAAGGGGGGTTGACTTTTGAAAATGTCAAAGGGGATGTGACTTGGCTCTTGATTTCATGGCAGAAAAGCAAGGCAGAACCACACGCACTTCATGAGCACCCATTTGAGTTATACCGACAAATCATATATTATTATTCAATTCATAATTATTAATAATACCCCTCCCCTGGATTTTTTAGTGCTCTCTTCTTCTTTTAATTACTTTTAAGAGATTTTACCCCAGAAAAAATATTATTACAAATTTTATTGACTTAATGATTGCGTGTCACGTTTTCTGCAATGAAGGAGAGAATCTCCTTTAATTGAGACAAGAGACACCGCAATCGTTGGTTGGAGAAATTTTTTAGATGGACGTGTAGTTATTCATGTACATCCAACAAAAATATACCATTCATGTAGTATTAGATATAAATTAATTCTGATATTAATAATAATAAAAAAATAAATAAATAAGCAATTTATTATAAAAATAAAGTTATTAAAAAAATAATACATGAAATTTTATTTGATTATATCAATACAATTTTATTGGATAGACAGTGATGATATAATGCATTAGATTTATCTAAGAATTTCTATTATTAGTTGTTACAACTGAATTGCTGGATTCAATCATTTAAAAAAAATTAATAAATGGGTATTTAAATAATGAAGTTGATAGAAAATTGAACAAATGAGCAAATTATCTCATAAATTTAAGTTTAATAGCTTCATATACTTTAAAATTATTTATTATATAAATTGTTCTATCAATTTTTAAAAACAATGCAATTTAACCCTTATTGTTAATAAAAATTAATTTTAACTATTAATTGATAAGACAAAAAAAATAATTTATATAATAAATGAATTCAGGCTCTTTGGTGCTACTTGACCAAAAGTTTAGGGAATAATTTATTCATTTATTTTAAAAAATATTATAAAATTAGTTAAAAATAATGAATTTTGCTGGCCAAAAATTAAAAATAAAATATAAGGAATTGGTTCGGTTTTGGCTGAGCTCCCTCGCTCGCTAAGGTTGGACTACAATACCGTAAAAATTGTAAATATGAATCAAACTAAATAGGATGCCATTTAGTTTTTTTTTTTTTGTCGGAACCATTTAGTTATTATTTTATTAACAAAATTTTAGGCTGAGTTGGGCATGACCATAACGTATCTCCAAACTTAAAAAAACACTCACAGGGAATTTGTAGTTGTCTTACTTTGTTTTAATAAATTAATTTTTTTAAAATATTACTATGATGTACTTCCTTTATTAAAAAATATAAAATATTTTTAATCAAATCTCACCCCAATAAAATATTTATTTATTTTTAAATTAACCCTATTTTTTCATATTGACCCCTATACACACTATAAAATAAATATAAAGTAATTTATTTAATAGGAGTATTTAAAAAAAGTAATTATTACACTTTAAAATATTAAAAATGACGTATATTTTTGATATACAACTCCTTAAAAAATGTTACATTTTTTAGGGAAGGGAGTACTCGGTGAATTTTGCTACAACATTATTATTATTAATTGCTTCTTTAAACTAATTTATAATCATGGAAGGATATTGACATTTTTAAAATTTAAATATCAAATTATGAATTTTATTATCAATAGCTTTTCTATATTTTATATACATAGCACTCCATTGTATTAAATTAAAAGCATGTATATCAATTTCTTTATTGCTAACTTAACCACATTCCATCGCAGTTAAACCATCCTGAGCAGCTTGGTAACTGATTTAATTCCATTAACACTTAAAGATGCTGATAATAAGTGAGAAAGTAGCAAAAGATAAAATAGAATGGTTGGGTCTTGCGTCTCACTTCTATTTTTTTTCCTTTCGTCATAACCGGATCACTTAGGTCAAGTTTGATTATTAAAAATAAATGGAATGGGATAATTAAAAAAATTAGTATAAAAATAAACTAAATCATTCTTTCTCCTAATATAATAAAACTTATTAATATATACTATAAATATGAGAATCATCACATTCTTAAAAAATTTTATGAATCATAATTATCAACCCCTTGGACTAAATTACCCTCTTCCTTTATAAATATGATTCACTATTCTTTTTGATCATTTTATATTTACCTTTATTTTTTTTAATTCATTCCATTCTATTTTTTTTAATAACCAAACGTGACCTTAATTATATGATTTATACTATGGCTAAACAAATCATGAGATTTGCATTTCTCTTTTTTGGCCAAAAAGATCTAGATTTCTTTTTTATTACGGTTAGCGAAAGATTGAATTGATAAGCCATGTTAATTTTAAACATTGACATAACTACTACCCCATTTATGAGTAGTAAAAACGACACAACTTGCTATTTAAATTTTATATGTGCAGGTTCACTTAAATAATAAAATAAAATAAGAAATAAAAATTTGGACAAGTTTCATATTTGACAGAATTACTTAAATTTTTAAATTCAGAAAGTTGGTTTAGTTATCAGTTGTTTTTGTGTATAAACAAATTGAACATGATATAGAATATAATATATAAAATGTGTAGTGTATGTAAAAAGAATATATTTTTTAACTAGATTATTATAAATGTAAGAGTTGAGCTGCATTTCAAACCCTTAATTACTTGTGGACAGAAGTTGCCACCACTCATAAATGTCAATGTGAGTATGTTTTTGTTTTGAGCATGAATGATGATGTACTTTTATCCATTGAAAGTGAAAATGAAAATACAGCCCCACTTATTTGCCTCGCTGTAATAATTCTCATATTGCCTAAATCAAACCATTATGTGGCTGCGTGAAATTATCAGAAAACCATGATACTCCCACTCGACATGACTGTACTATAATTAAAATTGATCTACCTTAATTAGTTAACCAAATAAACATCCCACCCGACATGACTGAGCTGGCGCTGGCTTATTTGTTTACTTTTTATATTTTTTTCACTTGTTAATAAGCTAATTAAAAAAACTGAACATGAAAAGATAAATAAATGACAGTAATAGCAAAGCTAAGAGATCAAAATATCAGTGTTGGAACTAATGAGATTGGGTTTAACAAAAGGTATTAATTCCTCACAATGTAATAAATTAAGATTCAAATCACGCCTAAGAGAGGTATCTATGTTTAGTATCCAATTGCATCTCGAACATGATTATCTCTAATATGATGATATACCTGTAAATAAAAAAAAGTATTAGTGTCAAGAAATAAAAAGATACCAAAACATATTTTAACAATCGGTGCGTCGTGGGTTATCCTAATTTGAAATGATAATACCAATTAAATAAATATCAACGCATTTTAAATACTGAACATTTGTAAAGCATAACATTACGTTCTTATGTATGATTACACATTTGTTTAGGAAGCAAGGCTACATGCATTAACCACGAAGGAGTCAAACTGTATCCTCTTTTAAATGAAAAACATACTTTTTTTGGTGCATAAATGAAAAACATATTGAAGATCTATGGTTCTCTCTCTCTCTCTCTCTCTATATATGAAGTTAAGCCTGGGGCGGGCTACGTTTTTTTTTTTTTTGGTAACATGTTTTTATTGATAGCATGGCAAATTATAATATTGTTTTTCTCAGCCAAAAAAAAAGATATTTTTTAAATAAGATATTGAAGTTAATAGTAGTAGCAACAGTAGAGTGGGTTAAATTAATCCCTCTTTTCCGAAAAGGTTATATTCAGGATTTGTTGTTCCTTACTTGCTTTACAGCCTTTTCAAACTTTGCTTCACTCTCAAGCCTTCTTTCTCGTGTAAAACGACATAAAGTTGTGTTTTGCGAGCCACTTTAATTTACCGTCTATCATATATATATATATATATATATATATATATATATTGATGTTCACAGTATTTTTTTATTCGTTATAATTAAAGACATTATATCATTTTTTAGCTGCTGAAATGAAATTATTCTTTTTTTATTTATTTGTATATTGCCTACAAAACTTTAGTTCATAAAACTTAAAAAAAA